GTTTGATTAGTGTCCTAAGTCTTGTAGCTACCTTACACTACTGTTCTAAGTAGATACAAACACTTCTAATGTTACTAACAGTTCTGATAAAGGTGACTAGTTGTTCTTCTTTAACTAGGATAGATATGTGAATACATATTCTAGTCAAGGCAGAACAGAGTCAATCTAAAGGATGTCTAAGATGGAACTAGTCTAGAACCCTCTCAGAATAACTCTACTCTAGAATGTATGTAGACTCAGCCTGCCAGATTTTGTCTGAGAGTTCCCTAAAGTCTTTAGTAAAGAGGAATTCAACTAGCTTCCTGAATACTGTCTTTAAGACTATGTAATTGAATTGACTGAGGGTTTCCAACCTAAGGATTGTAAGGTCTACCTACTTAACAGAGACAAGTAGGAGGCACTTGACAAGTTCCTTTAGGAAAATCTTTAGAACAGTCAGATCCAACCCTTAAAGTCCTCTATAGCCTCCTCTTTCTTCTTTGTCAAAAAGAAAGATAAGAAGCTCTACCTAGTTCAGGATTATTATTGTTTTAATAAGAGTACTGTCAAAAACAAGTACTCACTCTCTCTGATTCAGGAGCTCATTAATAAGACACATACATTTAGGGTTTTCACTAAGTTGGATATTTGATAGAGATACAATAATATTTGAATCTAAGACAGAGATGAGTAGAAGGCTGTGTTCTAAACTAATTATAGATTGTACAAACTGACTGTAATGTTCTTTAGACTAACTAACTCACTTACAACATTCTAGTCATTCATGAATTACATTCTTACAGATCTGATTAACTTAGAGTATGTTAGTATGTATCTGAACAATATTCTGATCTTTACTCAGACAGTTGAGCACTACTACTAACTGATCTGAGTAGTTCTATAATAGCTCCAAAATAATAAACTGTTCCTCTAAGAAGTAAAGTACTCTTTTACACAGGAGTCAGTAGATTATCTAAGCTTTGTAATCAGTAGAGGAGAGGTCTGTATGGATCCAGCAAAAGTAACTGTAGTTCAGAACTGACTACAACCTTAAAACCTGAAACAGGTCTAAGTATTCCTTAGGTTTACAAACTATTACTAATGCTTCATTCAAGACTTTAGTACTATTACTCAGCCCCTTCACAATCTTACCAGTAAAGATGTTCCTTAGTAATAGGATGATTAGTAGTAGTCTGTGTTTGAGTCCCTTAAGTAGGTTATTACTAGCAAGCCTGTATTAGTAGTCCTAACAGTTGTAGACAAGTTCTAAGTTGAAGCCAACTCTTCTGACTTTGTAAATAGAGTAGTACTGTCCTAGTTCATTAACAGAAAGTAGTGTCTAATAGTGTTCCAATCAGAATTCCTCTCTGTAATAGAATAGAACTACTCTATCTATAATAAGGAACTCCTTACAATTGTCTGTTCTCTAAAGGAGTAGTATTAATATCTCCTTAGTACTGTACAGAAGTTTAAGATTTAGAGTAATCACTTTAATCTCTAGTACTTCTAAACACCTTAGAAGCTTAACTACTGTCAAGCCTACTAGATGTTAGAACTGTAAGACTACAACTTTGTACTAACCTACAAACCTAGAACACAAATGACAAAAGCTGATTTACTCTTAAGATAAGTAAGTTATGAAAGGGGGGAGAATAATAATAAAAATCTTATTCTCCTAGACAATTCCTGTTTTGTGTTTAAGACAATTCAAGAGATCTGACTCAAATCCAAGAATGTTGACTTTGTTACTTGTATACAGTAAGCTCTAAGACACACACAGGACTAGGTTGTAATAAAGTAGTTAGAGAAGCAGGCTAAGGATTGGGAGGAGGATAAGGATAGACAGGTTTACTAGAAAGGCTGACTGTATGTTCTAAAGGATTAGAAACTGTAGAAGGACATTGTCTGAGCTTATTATAACAATCTGACTATAGAACATTTGGGCTAACACAAAACACAGGAACTCATTACTTAGAACTACTAGTAGTCAGGAATGTAGAGGGAAATCCTAAAATATGTGACTGGTTGTAATACATACTAACAGACTAAGGCCTACTAGACTAGGGTTTAGACTCTCCTACATTTGTATCAGATCCTGGATCACTCTTAGGAAGAAGTCTCAGTAGACCTGATCAGTGAGCTACTTAAGTCTTAGGGTTACAATACTATCTGTGTGATTGTCAACTGATTCTCTAAGTAAGTCTATACAGTTCTAACCTAAACAGAACTCACTTTCAAAAGTATAGTATGTATTTATTAGAATCACATCTTCTAGTTGTATAGACTCTCTTAGAAGCTTATTCACAATTACAGACTGTAATTTGAGTCAAAATTCATGTAGAACTTGTATACACTTCTCAGAATTTAAGGGAACCCTTCTACTATATATTACTTATAGACTGACAGTCAAACTGAGAAAGTTAATTAGGAGATTAAGCTCTACCTCCAGATGTTCATCAATCATTAGTAATCAGATTGGTCTGAATAGTTAGCTCTAGCAGAATTTGTACACAATAACTAGTAACACTTTATAACAGGACAGTCCTTGTTCTTCCTCAATCATAAGAGACATTTGTACTAGGGGACAGTTTCAAACTAGAACAGTAGTTCTGAATCTGTAACAGACTTTGTAGAACAGATACACAGAACTAGGGAGAATGTATGAGCTCTTTTAGAGAAGGTAGTATAGGTTATAAAGTAGAACTATGATTGAAAGAGGTCTACAGTCAAGGATTACTAGCCTAGTAACAAGGTTATACTAGAAGCTACTAATCTGACCTCAGATTGTCTAATGAAGAAGTTGAACAATAAGCACTTCAGACTCTTTGTCATTGAAAAGAAGGTCAGTACCTCTGTCTACAAACTCTAACTTCTAGCAACATAAAAGTACATACACCTAGTGTTTAATAAGGTTCTGTTGTCTCAGTACTACAATCCCAGTTTTCCTTCACAACAAAGACCCCCTCTACCTTTACTAGAACTTATTAGCTCCAAACCAGAATACAAAGTAGAGTACATAGTAGATGCTAAGCTACTATATAGAAAACTCAAATTCCTTGTTCACTAGAAAGGGTACTCAGTTGAGGAGCACACTTGAGAACCTGCCAAGAACCTTGCCTATACTCCTAAGGTAATCTAAGATTTCTATCAGCTTCATCCTAGTACTCTGTACAAACTCAGCCTTACAGATTTCCAAGCCCTACTGTTTCAACTTATGTCTGAGCTACTAACTAAGTCTAATGTTCACTAATCAGGATGATTGGTTTTAGAGGAGGGGTGATGTTACAATTCTCTACTCTCTTACCTTCAGTTCTAAGGGTTCTACACCCTTCTGTACTAGAACTCAGGACTTCTGTCCCTCAGGAGCACTGTCTATAGACTATATACATACTAACTCTTACTACTACCCTTCCTTACTTTATCATTCTATTCCTTTGACCACCCCTTCATTCTTTGTTCATTCTATAGTCTCTTACCCTTAGTCTATCCCTTCATTCTTTGTACCTTTATCTTTGACCTTCTCTTTCTTTCATTCTTTGTAGCTTATCATTATTAGTAGCTTATACTCTCTGAGTACTCTTGTATAGTTTAGTATATATAGGTGTACAAGATCAGACTGGTCCTGTAGTCTTGATCTTGTCTACTCTAGGTAGTCCTGTACTCTTAGGCTCACTCTATATACTCTACTCTTGTCTCACTCTCTCTCTCTGCCTGTTCTGCAAGTTCTGACTATGTTCTAGTACTTACATTCTGTATTTCTGTTGTGTAGGATAGTTGTAGCCTAGGTCCCCTCACTGAGCCTTCAGGTCCCCTCTACACTGTCACTGACACATTGTACAATATTAGGATATACATTTTACTTGAGTAATTCATTAGTTTTGTAGTCAAGTAAAAGACAAACACTGGTGGCAAATTCAATATATGAAGCTGAATTAATAGCTCTTGTAAGAGGAACACAAGAAGCAATCATACTTACTCATTTAACTGAAGAGATTCTGCAGGTCTCTGATACACTAATTAATATCTATTGTAATAACAATACTGTTATACAAACAGTTACATTAGACAAACTCAAATATTTGGAACAAATAAAGCATTTAGATTATAAGAAAGATTTTATTAAATGCTACATTGAGTTAGAGTACATAAATGCAAAATACATACAGACAAACAATTAACAAGCAGATATATTAACTAAAGTACTACATGTACTATAAGTCAAACATCTTACCAGTTTACTTGGACTAGTAAGAGTTTGAAGGAGAGTATTATAAGATGATTAGTTTATTAACAGATGAACCACAAGACAATGACTTCATAATGTCTCAGTTAGAATACATACAATATAAGGACAAGAGACACTGAGCAGTCAATCATTACCTCACCCCTTGTCTATACATGCCCCCCTTAAGTTTTCCCTCTTAACAGCCTTGCTAAATAGACTCTTCATGTCACCTGGTAGTGTGTAAGAGGAATTATACTTTGTTTTCACTAGTAAGGCAATTAAACACTAGAAGCTTTGTGTAAATTCTGAGAGATGTTGGGAAAAATGTAGTAGTGAATTGTCAACTGTGCATACATGGACAGCCAGCTACCAGAATCCAGAAGTTTGGTACACAGCTTTATTTATTCTAATTATAGCTTTTTAGGGCTTTCTATACTACATGTGACTAGCCAAGGTTTTCTAACATGTACGGCGCCTAACTCACGGAATGAACAGATACTTGTTACATAGCAAGTGTTCCGAATGGCCGCTGATGGCTAGGCTTCCCTTCAGGGATGCCAAATGAACGCCGATCGAGTTACTACCCTGCCTATCCATGATGCGGGTTCGCCGAGACACGTCATCTCCATGCCGCAGTGCACTCCTGCTGGTCGTTAGTTTGTGACGCAATGCGATACAAGTTACTAAATTATTTTGCTGATGCTTTACAAATCTGAGTGCAGCACCAGTGCAAAATAGTACTTAGACACAATCAAGGAAGGAAACTACGCATTCACTACAAAGCAACCCAGTAGTAATGACTGCAACTATTCCTACCTCCACTCGCACAGTGGTTCTTCAGAACTACATCTCAGAAAAGCATGACCTGGACCTCTCTTCGTCACCTTCTGGTACCTTTGCCTCCAAGGTGATCCCCATTCCTAACCCGGTTTCGGAGGATTCTCTTCTCGTTCAAACAATCTATCTTTCTAATGAACCTGGACTCGGATTCTTTCTACAAGAGTCTATAAACTTTGATCGTAGCGATAGAGTCCCAATTCCCCTCGGTTCACCCGTTACTTGGCCTGCGGCGACCGGTCGCATCATGCAAGTTGGCGGCAACGAGGCAAACGGACAGCATAAGGTTGGCGATATTGTCCAGGTATTGCGATCTTACTGGGCAGATTATGTTGTTGTGAAGAAAGACATGGTAAAACTGAGAAAGTAGGTTCTACAATCCAAGCTACCAGAGTTTGTGAAGCTTATCCTTGGCGCATAATCCCAGAGCGATACCCGGTATTCCCAGCAGTGCATATTTAGGCGGCCTTGGAGTATCTGGTGCTACAGCATATTGGGCATTGAAAGATGTATTGAAGCCTAAGCCGTCCCATACGCTCGTCATAAGCGGAGCCGCAGGGTCAGTATCATAATAAAGGCAAAAGCTTTTCTGTTAACCACGTTGCAGAGCTGTCGGGAATGTTGCCGTTCAATTCGCAAAGAAAGTCATGGGAGTTAAACGCGTCGTCGGAATTGCTGGCACAGACGAGAAATGCAAGTGGCTGAAAAGTATCGGAGCGGACGAAGCAGTTAATTATAAGAGTCCGAGGTTTACTGAAGACCTGGAGAAAGCAACTCCCGAAAAGGTTGACTTGTGAGTAACCCAAAACCAAATTGCGTTGGTCCTAATAATGTGGCATTCCACAGATTCCTTGATAACGTTGGCGGATCCATCTTGGATGAGGTGATGATGCGTATGAATCCCCATGGAGCCATATGTATCGTCGGAATCATGGCTCGTGAGTCCTCTCTGTCCGTGTATTCAAATATGTTTATTGAAAATCTCTGTAAAAGACATGAAAGACCCACAGGCACCAGTCGTCATGCGTAACTACGGGCAAATTCTCGTCAACAGGCTATCATTGAAGGGTTTCAGACTCCATGACTATGTGGATCGCCTCGACGAGGCCGAAGAGGTGCTTACTTCGGCGGCAGTCGCAGGAAAGCTGGTGTTGAACGGTGCGGAAACTATCGTCGACGTCCACGGTAAAGTCGAGGAGATACCAAGGGTTTGGAACGGATTATTCACGGGCGCGAACGCTGGAAAGTTGATTACGAAGATGGCAGACTGAAGCAGCAGACAAAATGTGATAAATAACAGAAACTGGAAGTAATTCTTTTCCTCCCGGATCATTGCATCATTTGGGCACGATGCCATGGTCTTTGGATTCTAGTCAACTAGTCAACTACCTTAACTCCATGAACAGAGCAGATGTCTTTTACTATACAGATTGGTTGAGATCTAACAATCGTCAGGTGTGGAGGGTTGACGATATGCATTTAGTATTGTCAACGGTTCAATCGGTAAGCGCTGATGCAAGGCCAAGAATAGGAGTATTTAGTTTAACGCAATTGTATGGTGGTACTTACACACGGTCGAAGCACGAAACCGCACATCCATCACTAACTCGGTACCAGTAACAATGTTGACACCTGTCCCTACATCTGCGCGCACAGTGGTTCTTCAGAATTACGTCTCGGCCTGAGAAACGCACGAACTCGACATCTCCTCATCACCGTCTGGGACCCTTACTGTCAAAGATATCTCTATTCAGAAGATTCACTCCTCGTTCAAATAATCTATTCCTCAATGACCCCTACCCTCGTTTCTTCCTAGAAAAGTCTGCAGAATATGATCGTGAAGATCTAGCCACACTGCCGCTTGGTACACCCTTCTCATGTCTTGCGGCGATCGGTCGCATCGTACAAGTTGGCGGCAACGAAACAGACGGACTGCACAAAATTGGTGATGTCGTTGAAGTACTCCAGCCTTACTGGGCAGATTATGTCGTTGTGAAGAAGGACAAGGCAAGGCCGAGAAAGTGAGTTCTTCAGTCCAAAGTACCGGAATTGACTAGAGGTATTCCTGACGCATGCTTTTAGTGAAATACCTGGTGTCAGCATATATGCGTATCTTGTACCCTTGGGATGACAGGTGCAACAGCATATTAGGAATTGAAGGGGGTATTGTAGCCTAAGGGGACTGACACTCTCATAAGCGAAGCTGTGGGCTGGTTCATAATGATACAAAACTAGCCACTTCGTAAACCGCTTTGTAGAGCCGTCGGAAACGTTGCCGTTCAATTAAAGAAAGTCATGGGGGTCAAGCGTGTCGTCGCAATTGCTGGTACAGACGAGAAATGCAAGTGGATGAAGAGCATTGGAGCGGCCGGAGCAGTCAATTACAAGAGTCCAACATTTATTGAAGACCTGAAGAAAGCAACTCCTGATAAGGTTGATTCGTAAGTAGCCTGAAAATGGATTATGTCGATGTTGGTAATGAGACATGTCATAGATATTTAGATAACGTTGGAGGATCGATCTTGGACGAAGTGATGATGCGTATGAAACCTCACGGAGTCATCTGCGCCGTCGGATTCATGTCTCGTAAGTTCCCTATCGTTTCTTTCAGACATGTCAGCTGAGTTCCATTATAAAGAAATGAAAGATGCACGCGCACCAGTTCTGCGCAACTTTGGGCAAATACTCATCAATAGGTTGTCACTGAGTGGTTCACGATCTGGGACCATTTCGACCGTCTTGGTAAGGCAGAGGAGGCGCTTATTTCGGCAGTAAATGCAGGAAAACTTGTGTTGAATGGGCAGAGAATGTCGTCGACATTCACGGAAATGTTGAAGAGATACCGCGTGTTTAAAAGGATTATTCACTGGTTTCAACACTGGGAAGATTGCGGAGTGGAAAAAGAGCGCGAATTAATTGACATTGAACAGGAACGTGTCTGAGACTCTGCACCGAGCTAAACGAAAAACCTGTGCGTATTGAAATTGCGGTGATCGCACAAAATGTCCGATTCATGATCATCCCTGAGCAAGGCACGTGATGTATCCTTCCACTTTTTGTCTCAAACTGAGAATCTCACTTGTAAAATCACCTTGGCATGATTCGCGAGCGCTGGAGCTAGTTCAACAGGAGTATCAGATTAAGCTCGTTGTAAAATGGTACTTAAACTCGATCAACGTAGGAGACTGCGCATCCACCAAAATTTAACTCAGCAACAATGTCCTCCTCGTCCATTCCTACATCCGCTCGTGCAGTAGTTCTTCAAAACTATGTTCCAGAGTCACACGAACTCGATCTGTCTTCGTCGCCTTCTGGAACCTTCACTGTAAAGGAAATCCCCATTCCTAGCCCACTTCCGGAAGACTCCCTGCTCGTTCAAACAGTCTATCTCTCCAATGACCCATACCCTCGTCTTTTTGTAGAAAAGTCTTTCAAGTTTGAACGTGAAGATATGGTCCCACTTTCTCTTGGTACGCCTTACCCATTGCTTGGGCTAATTGGTCGGGTCGTCCAAGTTGGTGGCAACGACGAGAACGGACCGCATAAAGTTGGTGATTATGTCGAGGTATTCCAGTCTTACTGGGCGGATTATGTCATTGTGAGGAAAGACAAGGCAAGGGCGAGAAAGTAGGTCCTGTAAAGCAATGGACTAAAATTGGCATGCATATCTGACGCATAATTCTAGGGAAGTACCTGGTGTCAGTATTAGCACATATCTAGGTGCACTTGGAATATCCGGTGCATCAGCATACTGGGTGTTGCACGGAGTACTGAAGCCTAAGGAGACCGATACACTCGTTGTGAGTGCAGCTGCAGGGTTAGTCCAATAATGACTCAAAAGACAGCATTTCGCTGATTGCCTTACAGATCCGTCGGGAACGTAGCTGTTCAATTTGCAAAGAAAGTCATGGGAGTCAAGCGTGTTGTTGGAATTGCCGGTTCGGACGAGAAGTGCAAGTGGGTGAAGAGCATTGGAGCGGACGAAGCAGTCAATTACAAGAGTCCGACGTTTGCTGAAGACCTAAAGAAAGCAACTCCCGATAAGGTTGACTCGTAAGTGAGCTGAAAGTTGGTTGTGTTAACAATGATAATAAGATATGCCACAGGTATTTCGATAACGTCGGCGGACCCGTCTTGGACGAGGTGATGATGCGCATGAAACCCCACGGAGTCATCTGTGCTATCGGACTCATGGCTCGTGAGTTTTCTATTCGTTCCTTCCGACGAACAAGCCAATTGAATCTTTGCGGTGCGGTAAAGTTCAGAAAGACCCACAGGCACCAGTAGTCATGCGCAACTATTCGCAAATACTCGTTAACAGGTTGTTGCTGAAGGGGTTCACACTCATGGACTATTTTGACCGACTCGGCGAGGCCGAGGAAGCGCTTACTTTGGCAGTATCTTCAGGAAAGGTTGTGTTGGATGGGGCTGAGACTGTTGTTGACATCCACGGAAATGTTGAAGAGATCCCGCGCGTGTGGAATGGTCTATTCACAGGAGCCAACACCGGGAAGCTGATCACGAAGGTGTCGGATTAAAGAGAGACAGCATGATCGAATTCAATGACGTTACATTTTACCAGACATGCAGATTATTGCGTCATTTTGTAACAAGTGCTCTACAGCCGTGCCTAGCAGTTTGTATACTACTTAAATATATTTCCTTCCATCACGAGCTTGTATGCAAGGGTCTAGCCTTAAGCGAATTAATGTGGTATTTGGAATTATCGAATAATATTGCTGATGCAATCGATCATGCAGTTTATAAGCAGTGACTAATTAAAGGTTACGCTCCGTGGCCTATAGGGTAGTAAGTAAATCCTACTTAAATGTGGAAAAGTAGGATTGTTCTAGGAGGAAAAAAGTAAATACACCAGCAAGCATGTCCACATCCATTCCGACATCAGCACGCACAGTCGTGCTCCAAAACCACCCCTTAGCAGACCAAGACGTTGATCTGTCTTCTTCGCCGTCGGGAACGTTTACTGTCAAAGAGATCCCTCTCGCACATCCAATCCCGGAAGACTCACTCCTCGTTCAAACGCTCTACCTCTCCAATGATACTGGAATTCGACACTTCATCGAGAAGTCGGCCAAATACGAGGATGATATCCCCACTCTCCCGCTCGGGTCACCGATCCTAGTGTTCAGATCAATCGTGCGCGTCATTCAGGTTGGCGGAGGCGACGGTGTTGGATCGTTCAAAGCTGGGGATATTGTTGAGATGTGGCAATCCCAGTGGGCGGATTATGTCGTTGTGAAGAAGGACAAAGCGAGACCAATAAAGTAAGCCGTCATGGTTTGACCTGCTTATATGCCTGTATAATTTTACGTGTTTCCATTAGGCAGAGACTTGGAATAAGCCTTAGTGCCCATCTAGGTACCATCGGAAGTCCTGGAGCCTCAGCATATTGGGCACTGACAGACGTCTTGAAAACGAAACAAACTGGCACGATTGTTGTGAGTGGTGCTTCAGGGTAAACCATTTGACCCAGCACCTTAGCTCTACGTCTGACCGTATCTGCAGAGCAGTTGGAAACGTAGCAGTCCAATTCGCGAAGCATGTTATGGGAGTCAAGAATGTTGTCGGTATTGCGAGTAGCGACGAGAAGTGCAAGTGGTTAAAGAGTATCGGAGCAGATGACGCAGTAAACTACAAAAGTCCGACATTTGTAGGAGATCTACGAAAGGCGACTCTGGATGGTGTTGACTCGTAAGCAGAAGTTGATTTTGATTTTTGACCAGCACTGTGATCGAGGCTCCTTTTGCACAGGTTCCTGGACAACGTCGGCGGGTTTATTCTAGACGAGGTGATGATGCGCATGAAATCTCATGGTATCATCTGTGCAATGGGGTTCATGGCTGGCGAGTTCATCATCCTTCTTTCCCTTGAATCGCTGTGGTTAACTTGATGTGGCAAGGCGTCAAAAATATTGACGGGCCTATAATCATGCGGAACTATATGCAGATATTCCTGCGCAAGCTAATTCTGCATGGTTTCTCGCTTTCGGACTATTATGACCGGCAAGACGAGGCTGAGGAGGCGCTTGCATCAGCGGTGGCCGCTGGCAAACTCATTTTGGATGGTGCGGAGACAGTCGTCGACATCCATGGGCATATCGAGGAGATACCGCGGGTGTGGGACCGGCTGTTTACAGGCACACATAGCGGTAAGCTAGTTACAAAGGTGGCGGATTGAAGGAAAAGAATGAATAAATTGGGACGCGACGGCACCGAGGTAAATCATTTTGTGTTTGCGGATCATTGCATCATCTCGGCAAGCGATCATCCCGTCATACTATCTTCAGCCCTCGTCCTCCGCCTGATAATTTATTAAATTAAACAATGAAGCAATACGGGCTTCAACGCGTGTTACTCTATTGCAAACTTCAACGATATGGTGTATGAAAGTCTAGGTTTGCACAAGAGGAATATGAAAAATCAGAAGCGGAAGCATACTTTGTTTATTTTAAGCCATCAGTGGCATCCAACGTTGACCGAACAGTTTGCGTGCCTCTCCAGGGTTTATAACGTTCTCACCGCACTCTCCTTCTTACCTCCACCACCCTTTCCTTCCCTCTTTTTTTCTCAGCAGACGACCAACAGCCATTCTTTAGCACTCACTGTCTCTTCTCGACAATGTCATTCACACTCTCGTCGCTTGCTTTCGTGCTGGTTTCTGCGCTTCATGTCTTTGCCGAATCGCACACAGTTCGCTTCCAAAACAAGTCGGTCTCTTTCATTTCCTTGACTATTCATCAACTGTACTCATATGGCCTTTTTTCCTTAGCTGTGGCACCGGCACTGTATGTTGCTTCGTTAGTAAAGAGGGGTGACAGAGTCATAATCTACCTTTACAGCCGAAACTCGTCCAAGGAGGAAAGATTCTGTCGACTGGTGAAGACTATACGAGTAATGGCCCCATAAACTCCGCCATTGCGTGAGTGCAACTCCCATCAATATTTTATCACGTTGTATTGACTTTCCGTAAGCTATCTTGACAGGAACGATGAATGTCTTCTCAACGGCGAGCATTGTACGCTCGTCGAGATGAATATGAACAACCCTTCGTGTCCAGGGTGCGGATCAAGGTGCGTAACCTTAGTATTTTTATATTAAGGCACGCAGGCTCACTGAATCACTTTCAGCGTCGACATCTCACTTATCCCGAGGTCAGTTCATTAGTTGTATGCTTATCGACATGTGGCATTGATAAGAGGAAATGAAAATCTAAATATAGCCATGCCTTCAACGTTGAAACATCTTTCGCATTCTTCGGCGGTGACGGTGATGTCTGCGACGGCCTCGGCGCAGTTTGTACGTCTCTTTCCACTAACGGATTTGAAAATCCACTGATTAAATCAAATTTAATTCCTCCTTACAGGCGCAGACTCAAACTGCAAGACTGCATTCTTCCAACCGAATGACAACTCTGTCCAACGGTCATGTCAAGCGAATAATGTGAACCTCCTTATCACGTTCTGCGACGGTGTCAAGACTTCCGAGTTTACCGAAGCTGTCGTTGGGTCTATGTCTGGAGGTAACGTGCGCGGCGATTCCGGTATTGCGAGCAGTTCGAGCAAAGCTGAGCCCTCGTCGTCACCGACAAACGCTGCTCCATATTCGAGTACTTCCGAGGCGTCTTCCACTTCCGTTCCTGCCCAAGAGCAGTCCAACACTGCAGTTAATTCCTCACCTGCCGACAACTCGAGCGCAGATACCTCTATCCCAGTTCACACTGCCTCTGTCTCTGGCTCGGGATTGACCTCAGGTTCAGGATCTACCGTCTCCACCGCTACAAAGGCATCCCCTACATGCAAGCGCTCGCGCTCCCGTCGTTCCAAGCGCGCTGCCACGCTATCCAACCACGCACGCTCGCAGTCTCGTGCTCGTGCACTTGCTGGCGTTCACGGCTCTTCCACATTCTAACGGGGTTTTCAACTGGGAGTTCCCTTCCTTTCGGTTGGTTAGTATATCCACTAGGTGCACGATCGTCTCTCCCGCGAGGGCTTTGTTCTCTCCGCCAATCTAAGCCTCGAGCTTTTTTCTTTTTTCGTGGTATGAGACCTCGCTTGCGAGGTCACCTTTCGTCATTGTCCCCCCCGTCTTTCTTCCGATTGGTCGACCTTGCGAGCGAGGTCTTCAAGCTACCCAAGTCCATCTTCCCATCCAGTGGATTACTTCATAACTTCATTATCATCTTTATTCCTTCATTTATCTGTTTGCTCGCTTTGTTTGTGCTCTGTACTGTGCTGTGCTATGGTGTACTGATGCATATCTTGCCTGTTGATTGAAGTGGATATATAGTGCATTGCATGACACTGTACTGTTCATTGGTTTAATCAATTTATTTGACGTTTGTTCCGTGCGGGTACTGAGAATCTCTTAATGTATTCCTCCAAAGTTGAGAGTTCTTGAAGATATAAAGGTATGGTCTACACGAATGGTAACATTGCAAACAAAGACAACTTCGCAGGAACCTCAACACACAGCATCTCGGAAAGACAAATAGTATGGAATGAAGTATAAGAGAAGGGGGGGAAAAGGAACTATACTTGCACAAATGAAAAAAAAAATCATGAGAAATGATCTTAAGAAGAATTCGGGATTGAGAGGTACTACTAATATGCAGTAAGTAGGCACGTAAGTTGCAAGTAGAAAAAAACGAAGAACAGGCTTTTGACGTTGAAACTTGAATTGACAACGATAACAAAGGGAGGGAGAAGAGGGGTAAAACTACTAGCGTAAAACGAGAAACGCGGGTCATGTAGGCATGTATGCATGCATGCATGCATGTATATATATATGGAGAGAAAAAGCAATGTAAAAGATAAGTTAAGGTACACGAAGCCGAAACGGGATGAGCGACGGGGAATAAGGGACGAAAGTAAAGATAGGAATAAACATCAAATTAATCCAACCATAAACAAAATATCCAAATCCTCGAAAACTCAACCAAGAAAAGAAACAGACGGTCATACTTAAGTCTCCGCAGATTCCCTCCTATGTTTCGAGCTCGAGCGCGAACCACTCTTCCTCTCCTGCTGCTGCTGCACAGACAGGCTAGGACCGGCCCCAGGTGTGGGGGGCGGTTCGTCACTCTCGGGTATCGTCTCCTCCTCGGGGTATCCTTTCCAACGCTTCCCACCTGCGCCATTACTCTCGTCTTCTGGGCTCACGGCCACCAGAGCCTTTTCCAATGCCTTCTCACCCCGCTTCTTTAGCCGTAATGACATCGCGGCTTTTAGCGACTCGACATACGAGTCGTATTTGACAATTTCGGTCAAGAGATATTGGGATTTGCGTTCCCAGTTCGCCATTGCTTTGTTCGCGTTTGTGGTGCGGGGTGCGTACTGTAATTAGCAATGATGGAGATGAGTAAATGCATTGACAGAAAAGAATTTAGGACATAACGTACCAGTTGTTGCATTGGCGTACGAAGAAGATTATGCTTGTTCAGATCTGCCTTCAACGAAGCAGCATGTTTCTGAAGTGCATCCAACTGCGTCTCCTCGTCATGTGTGCTGGGCACAGTAGATGGCATCGGCGGCTTCCAATCATGTATAACCACGCGCTCCGCATACGGGGAAGTATGCGAACGCAATGAAAATGAATCCTTCATTCCATGCCAACTACGAGTACTCCGCGTGCTGAACGTATCAGTATCCCGCGGTGTAGGCTCATCTCCAGATACAGAAGGTCGGTCATCGTCAAGATCTATTGCCCGGTTCCAACCGTATTCCATGTTCGAGACACCTCCTGCTAGAGGTTCCTTGCTCAAACGAGCTGCCCAATAGTTGCACGTTGAAACCCATTCGTTGACAAGTTCCTCCGTACCGGCTTGGAAGAAGTACACACCACCAGAAGCTAGGGTTAATACGAAGCAATGCGGTCGTTGCCTACTGTATCCAGGGGGCGGTAGGGCATGCGCAAGTGAATGTGATAGGGAGACTGTTCCAACTGGTTGAGCATTGGCCTATCGTACGTTGTAGTTAGAGTTAGACTTTCATAAGTTACCTTCATCTCTGAACAACTTACCAGCCAGTTTCCACCACCGACGACAGATGTACCGCCGCCTCCTCCTTCGCCGAAAATGAACATGTTCAATTCCCCCTTTTGGATAACCACAAAGACATCGAGCCAATTCTTTGACTTCGCCCTCTTCCCGGCACACTCGTAGTACTGTTTACGACATAGCATACCTTCTTTTGCCCATGGTGCTCCCAGCAACGCGAGTTCTTCATCAGTAATGCTCACACTCGAAGAATCAGTCCGATCACTGCGGGTACTCCGTACATCGTCTTCCTGGGCCTCACGAATGATCGTATGCGATAAGTTCGAAGCAAAGCCCAATGTAGGCGGTAAGAAGTGGCTGCTTGCAGAAGCCAGTGCCTTCATAGTTGGGTTTCTTCAGTATAGTTCCAGGAACGTGGCTGATAACAAACACTCACGGTCAAGCCCACCTCATGCGCCGAATTTGCGAAGCTTGGTACTGGACTAATCCGACCGTCAAGACTCCCACTGTTCCCATATGGACTGGAGCCCGCATGTGCACTGAACAATGACTGAATTCCGCGTACACTGCCTCGCTTGAGATTGGCTACCCGATCGTTTTGTCGTCGGCTTCCATTGCGATAGAGGTGTACACCGGGACCAGAAGACACGGACGCACGTTCTACTGCATTTAGAGGCTGTAAGATCTGTTGATTCTTAATTGCCGTGTACATTTCCTACCGACCGAGGATATTAACACCAAAGCAAATAATGAACAACAATGGTTGTCGGCGTCGGCACTCACCTTCAACAAATTCTCCATATCGACGTCGAAGTTCCGACCGTACGTTACGGGAGGAGTGCCTGGCATCTTTGCACGAGGATCATGCACTGAGGTGCTACTTCCGTTAAGCTGCGTCTGGGACGAACCGCTATTGGGTGTAGTTGCAGGCGTTGACATGAAATCCCGCGAGACGCTATTCCAGCTCGTCACACTCGCACTACGACCTCCTCTACTTCTCAACGCACTTGCGCCAGCTTCGCTTCCATCTGAGCCAATACCACGAATGCTACTGCCATCATCATGCGTCAATTCTGGTGTAGATGCCCTCACGGAACCATTTGGTCTAATTTGCATTTGAATCGCGGCAAGTGTGTTTCGTACAAACTGGTTTCGTGACATGCGCGACGCCAGCTCGGCAACATGAAGATCCGTGTTGAGAAGCAGAAGAGAATATGAGACAGCGTGGACGACGCCTGCGATAGGGTCAATGAATAAGCTTGTTCAGTAAGAGCACGCGATACACTTACTAGCGCTTCCATACACGGTTGTTGGATTGGTCTCCCAATATCGTCTGCTAAACTCTTCCAAGATCCGGTCAACCTGCTGGGTTTCGGCTTTGAGGTACAACTTCGCGCATAATCTTCGGAATGCGACATCAAGCCGAAGACCAGAGAAATCAAAGTAGTCCATGTAGTATCGTAGTGCAAGCTTATTGACCAGTTTGCTATAAATAGAGTAAGGCAAAAGTTAATTTTCGTCTAATGAAATAAATTGAATCATGCGGAAAACGCACTGGCCGCCAAGCCATTCAGCTATTTTCTCTTTAGGAAGGAAATCGTCATCTTCCCTCCAACACTTCACAGCAAGCTCCTTCGCCTTCGCGTCAGCATCAAGCGGCTCCTCTCGAGATGCAGCAGAAGACGCCACGCGACCATTTCCTGTATCCTCTGTGAGGTCCGTCTGCGAACTCATACTCGTTGAAAGAGCTGGAGACGCAGCTTCCGGCCAGCCCACTGATGTAGATGAAGGTACTAGTCGGACGGTCCGTTTTGGATCACGACCAAGAATATTTTCATCATCACGCGCGGGGATTAGCGAAGGCTCCGAGCTTGACGCAATTGACCGATGCTGCACGCTCAGTCGAGACGTATCACGCATTGTCGAAGGTGGGCTTGAAACTGCACTTTGCGCAGTTATTGATCCAGACCGCTGTGGACGAGGGCCGAACTTGACCGAATTCTTGCGGATCGTCTCTGTAGGACCGACCGTGTTAGGTGTTAAAAGTGGGGTGTTTAAGGAGGACGAACGAGGAGGGACAATGGGATCTTCTACGTTGACATTGGTGTCGATGGTTAATGATGGTGAACTTGTCGGCGCAGGTGAGGACGACAGCATCCAAAGCTCAGGGCGCTGGGTGCGTTCATGAAGCCTACCTCGTGCATCTGCGAGCGTACTCGTGGGATCAGACTCAAACGTCGACCTTTTCGGAGTTGACGGGTCCTTGAGATCAAGTGAAGACGCGGAGATACCATCAAGTTGCGATGACAATTCGCCTTTGAAATCTTTGATGACTCCACTCGCGCTATAATCCGAACCCGAGTCCCACTCCTTGTTCAAAGATGAACGTATCCGTTCAGTTGCTCCTCCAAGTATCACTTTCTTGAGGTCTGCTTCACTTACACTCATACTCCGCCTCTTGGTGGATGCAGGCGCCTTGCCCTTAATAGTTCTTTCCGGCGAAGACGACCGCAAATTCGAAATAGCATGCTCATCTACAGAAATGGCACTTGAATCATTCGGATCATGATTGGGAGGTACTGGCATATTTGGTGAGCGCGGTGATCGTGGAAGAGGTTTTCCCAGGTCAGGTGTTGCAGGTGGACTAATAAATAAATCAGCAATTGGTGATGCTGACGGTGGACGGTGTTCTTGAGGAATGGGAGGAACTGGTGGTGCGTCGTCGCTTTGATAAAAACTTGAGCTGGAGTACGACGTTGAAATTGGTGTCATCGGAGAACCGAAGAAATCACGCTGTTAATTGACATCAGCTCCGCATTGACAGTAGCGCTGATTTTGCACAACGCACAGTCTTATCCCGTACAGATCCTTGCCCAATGATTTTGCCAAGGAAGGCACTCGTTTTTGAGCGGACAGAAGACTTGCCCTGCAAAAATAATTAGCAAAGCTTGAGTTGATTAATGAGCATACCAAATTACTTTGCTCATAACGGTGTCTGATCTATTTCTTGAGTTCGAATTGATCCAATCTGAGCTGATGGGGGAATGATGAGAAGGGATATGAGATGGTGAAGCATCGGGTGCTTTGCTCTTTGACAACTTTCCCTTATGAGCCATCGACAAGCCCTCACTGCGGTTGACTGTCGTGGAAGAGCGAGGACGAGTACGTGGTGCGTTACTTTGCTGTTGCAGATGTTGACTGTCAGGAGAAAACCCGTTCTGAGTTAAGACGGGAGTGCGGCCGTCTGATGTGCCAGTGCCACCAGTATGTTCTCTCGAGCGTTTCGTATGCTGGTCGTGATGCCCGGCAGCACTCCGCTGTTTAGCCTTCCGAACAAGCGTGGCAAGGTCGGGACTGCTCGCAGTCCCAGGCGATCGTAAAAGAGAACGCCGCTTAGTCTGCACGTCTTCTTCCTCCGCGTCAAAATACCGCTCATTCGACGTTGATCCCAGCGAGTCAGCAGAGGGAGATCGCGACCGCGTCAGCGATATCTGTGGAGCACCACCAGAGGAGGTGGGAGGTGTAGGTGGCACACCACGACTCTGCATTAGATTTTGGCTTGTGGATGCGCTCTGCGGCGGCGTTGATGCGTGTGAAGGCGCTTCGCGCATGGCTGTACGCGGTGATATTGATCTGCCCGTGCCGACACTAATAGTGCTTCCCGGTGAAACAGCCTGCTCGATACCGAGAGCGTTGAAATCGCGGCCCTCTGAAAGGAGGACGGTATCCGTGCCCAGCAGAGCTTTTTCAAAGTCTACTTCTGTACGCGACGCTCTTCGAGTTAAATCGCGTGTGGGGGAGTCATTGGACGCGACGGGCCTGAGGTGTGCCGTTCTGAAAGACGACGGCGGAAGCGCGTTGCGGTAATGCGGAGGAGGAGCCAGCTTGGAGTCGAAAATGCGCTCTCTGCGTGTGGGTATATTGCTGTTACTCTATCGGTCGTGTCCGTCAGGCCAATCAGATCAGCGTCGACAGAAGGGGATGTTCACGTCCACTCGACGCCGCGTCGCCTGCCCGTGCGTTGTCAACAAGAAGATCAAGGTGAAAAGAGAGGAGCGTCCCTGCCGCCGGAGTGGTCAACGCTGCTGGCTGTCGAGGGCTCAGACGACAAATCGTTTTTGTCACCGACACTCTTCTGCCGACCCGAGGGCGTTGAGATTTCATTTCCTCTTCTGGCAAGCGGACTACGAACCTTGCAGCATTAATTAAACCTACAAGCCCTTTGGCGTCGTACTTGCTACTTACTACTAGTACCACCAGATCTCGTAGGCAACAGTGAGGAGGAGATCAGAGCGCGTCACTACTAATATGCCCATATATCGGCTATACAGAATCGCCAATTGTTCTGCAACTACTCTAGTAAAACCAATATAAAAATGAATATGTCAAATCTAACATCGAAATTGTGTACAATAAAATTGCGGAACCATGATCGTACAACGCTAAATGGTTGGAAATGACAATGGCAAATGGGAAATTTAAATATAGAAATCAAACATATCCACATCATGCTGCAGGAAACCGCACAAACAGGTACACAATCAAGGTCAAGGGAATCAGCCGGGTTTACGAGAAGAAGCATTGCATCTGCATGGTGGGGTGGGGAGTGTGGGGAGAGATCAAGGAATTTGCCGTTAAGATTCGCAGCCCAAAGTTCGAAACCTGTTCGTCAGGATCCGTGCTCACGAGCTCATATCCGTTCAACGACTCTGCGTCGGCGTGGTGTCTGACGTTCGGCGCTGTCGCTTCATTGCCAGCGACGAATTCGCCGACGTCGTCCCGCTAGCTCCTCCCCGACCAGGTCCCGAGGTTGCACTTCCTGTTGTTGAGCTCCGGGGACGAGTTGAAGATGAGGCAATCTTTGGTAATGAAGGCGCGCTTTTGCGCGTCGCATTGACTGCACCCGATGCTCGATTTCTAGTCATGGGTGGAAGAAAAGAGAGGAAGACAAGGATCAGATCACAAGGTTTACCCTCAAACCTTGAACGTTCGTAAACGTACCTCTTCTTAATGACGTCTGTTTTGAGCGATAGCGGTCGAGTGACACCATGTAGTTTCTAGCCAAATGGGAGAACATGAGCATAAAGGCAGCATAAGCAACTGGGGTCAATACATACATAGAATAAACCACATGCATTGCCTGTGAAGGGTATTCAGTCAGCATCTCGCGTGAAGATCCAGAAACCAAAAGAAGTATAGAACCTCAGGGAAGCGGAGAAATACTCACACAGTGGCTGCCCTTCGGGATCGCGTCTCCACAGAGGGGTGTTCCTCGTCTGGCAATTCGTGCATACTGTCGGGACAGAATCTGCGTCATCCGTTCCTGCTCCCTGGCTCGCATTACCTGATGCTGTATTCTGGGCAAGATCTGGACTCTCCGACGAGCGCAACGCAGCCTGACGCGGTCCCCCAACGTTGGCAGCTCCGCCCTTCTTCTTCTGAGGAGATCCCATGGTACCGCTCCCACGCCCGGGTTCAATATGCTTCAATCCGCCACTAGCCTTCCTCCCAGTAGCGGCACGTGCCGTTGTAACACCGGAACCGTTACTTTCCGTTGATGGAGGCGTTGAGCTACTAGAAATTACGAACGGCTCGGGTGAGGCGGTCGAGCTTGAATTGAATCCGCCTCCGCCCCAACCGTCACTCGACGGACTTGGATGGAATGTTTGATTCCGGCCTCCGTCACGATCGACTCCAAGTAATTGAGTTGGGTTCACGTGAGTATATTGTTGCTGCGCGAAGCCACCATTAGGATCATACGACGGGTAGATAAACGGCAACAGTTGTTGCAGTGAATCCGATGACTGTACGGCATGGATCGATGTTGTCATTGCATCATTCCCAGTTCCAGGCGAGTCGACTGGTGAATATGGAACGCTTATCGAGGACCGTGTTGAACCAGGGAAAGGGATAGAATCTTGTCCCTTTTCGTCAGTTGAGTAGGGAAATTCCGAGCCTGTTACACCAGAGCCTGTAAGTCCGAACAAGCCATCGATTCCCGAAAGTGCGAAATCGAATGACGCAGTCGGAAATGGACTGGTTTGTCGTATTGACGGATTTGCTTCCGCAGGTCTTGGGTCAAGCAGTGGCGAACCAACAGCCGGTGGGTCGGCACGGAGAATGCAGTCAGCGTGTGGAGTGTCAGCGCGTCGTTTCCCCTTTTCGAATTACATGTAAACCCCTTCAATCACTTTCAATATGACAGAACAACTCGAACATACCAAAATTGGATCCAGAGGGTTGGAAAGGTCGTCCGAACCAAGACGCGAATGAACCCCAAAGTTGGGGATTAAGCCAGATCGTGAAACGGTATGATCAAAGCTGGTCTTGCGCAGATGGCGAGAAAGGTTACCCTGCTGCTGTTGATCCAATGCTACAGTACCTGATCTTTGGCGAGACGGTCCAGCGGCATGCGAGCCCAATGCGGGTAATGAACTAGGATGTGTCGACGGGTTGTTTATAGATGATAAAGGACGGTTATACTGCTCTAGAGCAGGGAAACGTGCCGGCCCACTCCGCCCAATTGCACCAGACTGTTGTGTGAAGGAAAAATTTGAAAATTCTCCAGTCTCTTCAAGCAGTGTCGCCAAATGAGAAGCGTGAGCTTGCAGGGACGAAGAAGGAGGAGGGCTACCGTATCTGAGCTGCGTAGCTAGTCCAGGAATTGGTATGGACGAGGGGGAACTGTACTCCGTCTCGGCAAGATACGATGCATCGAACGATTTAGATAAATTCGCAGCTTCCGTGAGATGAGGAGTCAACGTGTCTAAAGGAAACGTGAATTTGCCTTCTGACCAACTATTTGAAAAGTTTCCTTGGTCAAAAGGTTGGCCAGGAGGGGGAGGACGAGACCGTGAACGGCTTGTCGGACGCCAATCCATGGATATACGTGAACGCGACCGACTAATGGCGCGCCAGTCCATTTCAACCGCACTGCAAATAAGGGCGTAAATGGGGTGTTACTGAGCGGGAATGCTAAAGCAAGAACGAACTCATTTTCATCCCCATCCTGATTCTTCCCTTCAAAGCCAACAACTCGAACACGAGCAGCGGTCTTGTCAGGTCGCCGCCCTCTCACCTCTGGTTCAATCTTGACCTCGGGAAGCGCCACTGTCGAACCATCAACCCCCTCTCTTCTCATCGATCCACTGGCCTGTTTCCCTTTACTTTCGGTAGCAACCTTACCAGTTTCAGCCTGCTCCCTCGCCGCCGCCGCGGCCCTTGCTTCTTCCTCCCTGCTTTTCTTCAGTGCAAGCGTCATCATTCTCCACGTCAAATTTTCCATCCGTTGTGCATGAGGTAAAGAAGCTTTAGTGCGTGCATACATCCTCCACACCTGCGTCGCTAATGGATCTTTCTCTGCCATTTTTTCGGGATCGGCTTCGAAATCCGAGTTCAGCGCTGCCAAGTCGGGAGAACCTCTCCCATTTGACGTTGCCGGAGGGAAATTGCCCGATTTGTTAAGAAATAAATCATCCGCCAATATATCATTGTAAAAGGTAGGTGATCGGGCATCTGTAGCTGCACTCGTGGGTATAGTCGAGGTCGAGGCTGACCCACTGACGAACGGCGAAGTGGAAGGACGTGAAGAAGAAGCACTGGATGGAGCAGTGTCCAAATTGAAATTAGAAGTACCCGACGGCATCGTTAGTTGCGAAAGTGCGGGGTAGTTAGACGAGGAAGAAGCGGATACAGAATTGGAAACTGGAGTAGGATTCATAGGAGACATCCACAAGGATGGAGGAAGGTTAACATGAGCGCGTTCGCCGGCAGCAGCATGACGAGGAGATGGAGAACTCGCACCGAGATGGGAAGGGAAAGTTGGATGCGGCATACCGAGCCGCATGGTGACTGGAATCGGGCCCTCGTGCGCCAAGTTTTCTAGTCCACTCCTCCTGTTCGCGATGCTTTGGCGGTTGGTCGCCTGACGCAGGTTTAGGAAGCCCTTCTGCTCCGGCCGGCGCCGGTCGCTGGGCTTCTGAGGATTGTGCTCAGACGAACGGTTCTGTGTATGCGCATATGGATGGTGTGCGCCGCCTCCCTGCATCGTACTTGCCTTTCCTTTCATTTGCGAAAGCGCACTTACGGATTGTGGAGACTGCGACGGCGACGTGCTCTGCGAGGAAGGGACGTTTGGTGAATAGACGTTGGTGTCCGCTGTCGACCACGATTCCGTCGTCGTACCAGAGCCGAGCCTTGAGTGAGAATCAAAGCTCGACACGGAAGAGGACGACATCGAAGAAGCGAGAAAGGCACCAGGATTCGCGGGAGACGGGAACGCGGACTTATTATTAGTCAGAGTTGCAGGAGGACCAAACGCACCGCCGGCGTCTAGTGCAGCAAACACGGCAGGGTCGAGGGGACTGGCGAAGATTGAATTCCAATTGGCCGGGTTATGGACTTGGGAAGTATTAGACTGAGTGTTCTGCGAGGGATGCGTAGTCGCATGGGCTCCATCAGGGAGGTGTGCGAAGGATATTCCCGAGCCCCGGGCAGCTGACTGACCCCAAGGAGACACCGAGTAAGGTGTGCTCGGAGTAGATATTGCCGACGGCGGAGGATGAGGACTAGGAGATGGCAGCGCAGAGGATGCGGTGGCACTAAGGACCGTGTCGACGGTCGGACCACCTGCTGGCGGCCAGGGACGTTTGCGAGCTGCTTCGTTGAGCATTTTTGACGACGCCGACGATGGAGCCGGGTCCATGCAAAGTTACCTGGGTGTCGCGAGGATGAGGAGAAAGAGAAGAAGACGCAAGAAACGAGCGAGACGATGAGGAGGGGCAGAGGGAGAGGTGTGATTTTACATACTAATTTAAGTTGAACTGTCCGCACGCTAAGCAGCTGTATGCTGACTTGCTATATGAGCACGACGCCAGGGGTGGCGCACACGAGACGGCCTGTTGGGCAACGGGCAAGAGCGTCGGCAACAGGGCAAGCACGGACGCGACGTGCAGAGCGTCGTGGCAGACGACGACAGAGTTGATGGCGTCTGTAAGGAGTGTATACCAGAGACCCAACACGGTCTTTCGCTAGGCATTCGTCCCATCCTCGTCCTCGGTTTCCCTCGGCCCGGACATGTGCTAAACCCAAGTTACTATCTTTGGACTTTTGTGCTTCCGGCATCCCCTTCCCTTTTCGGGCCTTTACACACACCCGTGACCCTTCTGCATCACTCAGCCAGACATCTTTCAGCCAAGGCGACAGCTCCCATTTAGTCCGATTCTATTCGCCGTCCCTCTTCCCTGCATTCCCTTTGTAAACCACACGAATTTCTCGTATTTTTGTTTTTTCGTCCGCCAGCAGCCGCACACCGAGCCGACGCGGACGAGCCGCGACGCTCTTTCGGCTGTTTTCCTCCTAACCCTGGTCTATGAGAATCGCATTCATTGGCGTGCCTGTAGGCCTGCACCCTCTCTCTCTTGAGTTTCCATCTTCCGCAATTTACTTTCCCGTTTTTTCTGTTGTCTTTCTAATCCGCATTCCGGGCCGTGAAGAAATTCATGTGCATCTCTGACTCTCTCAGCCCCTGTGCAGCCTGCTTTTCTAAGCATCCAATTCAACTTTCATACAGACTCCGAACCTTCAGAGGTTCTTTCATCTATCTAGATCCATACGTATACTCAACAACAGGCTGCCCGATGTCGGGCAGCCCGGTGAGCTGAACATTGATCCACGCGGCGAGCGCCAGAATCAACGACCTTCAGGTGTGCTCAGTATCCAAATTCTTCTGTGATGCAGAATGAGCGCATCTGCGACCTTTCCGCGTAGCATTAATTTGTCACGAGACAAGTAGTGTAATAAGTACATAAACAAGCCATCGATACATGTATGATGTACGATAATAAAAGTGCATGTAGGGCAAATACGGAACCGTTGACTGGCTAGGAAAGCAGAATGTCTGGGTCTAGGTTGTGAGGGGGCACACAGAATGGAGAAACTCGAGAATGATCGACACCCGCTTGTCGACATCACCCGCACCAAAGCCGCTGCCGCGCACCACAGAGACCTCGATCGACTTCGGACGGGACGCCGGTACTTTCCGCCCTATTCCTCTTCGCTTCCCCGCATCTTTGCTGTGCCTCATCATCAAATTCCCAGAAACAAGCACTTGGGACAATCCCCTCGATCACCGTTGCCGTCACAAACGCGCGGCCGCCGCCGCTTGAAGCGTCGAACCAGACAGAATCGCGGCGCAGCCTACACGCGCCCGCCGGATGTTGCACCAGAGTGATCGACCTCGTCCCGGCTTAAATCGTTATAAAACGACGGTGGAGCTACCCCTGCTGCTTGTACTTGCAGTTCATGGTCGGTGCCCTCATTCTTCGCTTGGTCTGGGTGGTCTAACAATTGTGATGCGTCCCCATCTGGAGCGTGCCCCTGGTCCCCTTGTCCATAGCGGTCCCGAGCCACGTGTCGCAGATCCTCGAACGCGAGGAGGTTAGACTTCATTGTACGCAACAGCCCGACATTTGACACGCCAAATTTATCGTGCAAGAAGACAGAACAACGTCACTGCGTCTGGGACGTTATGACCCTGGAAAATCACCCCGAGCTACGACGCTCACTGGTAAAATGATGATCGAATATGCGAACAGAGAGCGAGCCAAACGGACCTTGGGCCGTACAGAAGCCACCGGATCTCACAGAACCTCTCTCTACTCAACGCACGTCTATGAGCATGCCGATAGATTGTAGTAGGTCCGCAACGCGAAGCGAGAGCTGTCAACACACGTCCAGTCAGCAAACACATGGACGTCAGACTTCTTTATTGAATTTTGAAGTCGAGAAGAAACGTACCACGTATGCATCTACGGATTCCTGGATGAGTGACTGACCCATTTCCCAGGCGCATGCCGTCTGTAGTGTAGCGAATAGTGTTGAGCTGCCGTGGTTCGGAATGAATCAGATCACTCCTGAGGCGACGACCAATACGGCTTGCGTGTGTACAATTCTGACGGGGAAGAGCGCGAGAAGGGATAGAAGGATATGAGGCTTGCTTCCGCGATTTGCTTCGGAGAAAGTGAGCATCTAGCGAAAGTTCTGAGCAAAGATAAGGAGAGAAACTCACGCTTAGCCGACGCTCTGCAACCGCGATAGATGTCTCGTTACTGTTATTTGGTCACCATCCGTTGAAACAAATCTAAGGCGAGTTGCAGCGAGTGTGAAGAGAGGAAGGAAAGCAAGTATCAGTCTCGGAAACTCGACTATGTCATGTCATAAATACCGCCGAGCGTCTCCGATGCCAGAAAACACAGTTATTCCAGGCTCGGAGCATCGCAAAGCGAATAAAGGCATTGAATTGAACATGCTGTGCAACAAGCTCAAAGCTACTGGACGTTATTAGAGTCCTGTTCGCTCACTGTCAAGAGACGAGGATTCGGAGGAAGATCACTGTTCAATGGCTGCCGATCAGCAGTGCATTTAGTCTGATTTACTTTTCGATACTTCGCTAGTGTACATACTGTGTACGTAGCACAAGCCTTCGTTATTTCATTGCCTAATGATTTCAAGAAAACCGGATCTTCAGAATTCACGATCCTTGGTGGAAAGTTAGAAGTACTTCTAGAAGAGTATTGCTTTATATTACATTAAATAGATGAGCGTTGAGAAAGTGCTTGGTCATCAGTCAACTATATAAGCTCAAGAATCAATAGATACAAGACATGGAATATCTATTTTCCAGGTTTGGGAGTGTACTCGGGTTTCTGGTAGGTGTACGACGGGAACCGGTTCGCTTCCGTGTTTGAATGGTATCGAAATGCGGATGCTTTCATTGGATACTTCCTAGGGCATGCTGAGGTAGATACAAATATTCGGCTTAATTTCCATGGCAAAACTCGTCCTCAAGTGTCTTCTTCGTTTTCTAGCGTTCTTCCATTATTCCGCCAACCGCTCTAACGAAGCAGCATTCTTACAACCTCACATCACTGGAAAATAAAGGTGACGGCACCGTTTCTTTCTAGATCCAGAAACATCCTAACAGAAAACTGAAAGAAAGTCACAGCAAAGCTCCGCAGCTTTCCCGCGTCCATCTCGCCGGGCGTCTGAATACTCAGAATAGACTTCCCTACACAGAACAGAGGTGCACCGAAAGAGCGTGTAGCGGACGGCGTTTGCCGATAAGAATCCATAACAACTGCACACACGAGACTTGCAAATCTCAAACAGGACAACGCGGGTCATCAAAGAAGCACAGCCCCTCAAGACGCCGTAATGAAATATCAATGATAAAAGATGAATGCTACTTACTTACCACCTGCCAGCGCTGTGCTTGATCGGAAATTAATGCCTTGATACACATAAAATGGTGGCTCATCTTGTTCCTCAAAGCACGTTCGTTATTTGCGCGGTATGTCGAAATGAAATAAGGACAGGTCCCGGAAACAACGCCCAAAGTCAAGTGATCCGTTTACAAGTTCGCAAGAGCACACCTGACTTGGTCTTATGCAACGAGCAGGCATATACCGCCCAAGAACCTAGAAGCTTGAGTATAAATTCCTGCTCACGTACATCTTCCTCAGTTCCCCGCAGTACCAGTATGGTTCCGTTTTCTAATTCCATTACTGCCGCCACCGTCATTGCCATCGTTTGCGGCACCATCTAGATCTGCCGACATCGTGTTCGAGCCTTCAGATGCCCCAGGGCCAGACTTGGGGTACGATTTAGCTGCCCCGTCGTCACTTGAAGCCTCTGCCTCATCCTTCCATTTCCAAGCATCTCTAATTTCGCCCTTTGTAATCGCCGTCACAAGGAAGGACAATATACAAGCGGGGCTTCGATGAATGAGATACCCTTAGCCGCTTACCAGCACATAGTTATACTAAATAGGACGTACCTGAGGTATAGTAGCGCCGGTTGGGCGGCGCCGAAGACATGCAGGACCGCCATAGTCGCGGCTAACCCTAGCACATATGCCGTGAGCGCTGGATGGAAATATGGCTTTGCGAACGGCTGCCTGGGGTCCTTGTGCGCGGACTTGCTGAGATCGTAGCGCAACGCGGTAGAGACGAACATCCCAGGAATGACAATGTCGCCTAGTCCGAGCATGGTGAAGCCTCCGTCAGGGGAGAAGACGTAAGACTTGGGCCATAGAATTTTGATAGGCGCATCGAGCGACGTTGCAACCTTGACCATCTATTCAACATTGATTAGACGATAAGACCGAAGGTGAACATCGGCCGACGTACCACCTCCGTACCAAAGACCCACCAGATGTCATACAGGAACAACCCGGATAGTAGGATAATCCCAGTCTGGAATGTATCTAGCTTCATGATAGATAGTGCATTGTGAGAGAATGATAGAGCCAGGATGTCGGTCAATAATGCAGATTTCTTGGGTCCAGGTTGATAAGTATATAGAAATGACGGAATGATCGAAGGAACGAAGAGAACAAGCGATGGCGTTCTAATAGAGAGTGTGATAAGTTCTGAAAGCTAGTCAATGCTAACCATTTTTGACTCCTGTCATGAACAAATACCTTCGGGCCCCTTACGAACAAGAAGTCTCCACTTGTGAAAGTTACTCCAACGCTTGGGTCCAAACGAACTTTTACATATGGATATTGAACACTGTCATGAGGTGGTTAGAGCATGACAGATGCGCATGAGAACAAACCATAACATGCCTTCCAGACGCTCCCCACCCCTGCAATGGTAAAATACCATCCAAGAACCCAATTTATCCATTCAACTCCGAGGAACTTCACGACGAGGTAAAGGCCGAAAAGGACGACCGAGCCTATCTGCAAGTTCTTCATTAACAACTCGAAGTACTGAGCACGTGAACAGAAAACCAACTATTGGAAAGAGAAGGGCGTCTGAAGAGGACAGCCTATCAGGCATATCCTCTTCGTCTTCATCTTCGCTGTCGTCCTTCGAAGTAGTTACATCGCGAGGTTTGGGCAGTGTCTGCCTTGATATAAATCAAAACGCTCCAACAATCACTGATGCGATGTTCACCTTGAGTGATCCAAACGACCCAGCGTATACAGAGAATGTCGCGAGGCTGAGCAGGCCTGCATACGAGGAGATGAGGTTCCAGTCTTGCTGGACCATATTGACGGAAGTAGGACCCGTTATTGTGGACGTGGTGGGTCGTCGAGTTGACACGACTATGGAAATCTCGTGACGTGAAATTACCGTTTCTGGGGAAGGAAAAACGCTGATCATGGCGACGATCACTCCATCTGCGCCGGGTCCCTGAGAGAATCTCGATGTAGCGACCATCAAGAAAATTCGAACTGCTGGTCCACGCTGATTCGTGTAAAATCGTCGTTTTCACCGCTGATTTAGCACATCCGCGTTCCAGATCTTTCCGCCTCGAGGCGAAAAGACATCCGTGTGGTTGCCATATAAAATGCCGTTCAAGACCGTCTCTGATCTCTGCCTTTGTCCCCATCCACCTCGATCTTTGACTTGACTGTTAGGGCGTGGGTTCCCGTGTTCTCCAGTGCTGCGCTGTAACTCTAGTCTGCTCAGCGACCGTACAACATGGTCACTAAAAACCCAATATTTGCAAAATGGTCTTTCAAACGCTTTCAAGCGACCGTCATCAACGACATCTGGCCTGAGACGCTGTTTTTCTCTCTAGTTGCATTAAGTGAGCCTCACCGACCGAGTCGACAGGCAAAAAGGATGCTGATTCCAATGCACAAAAGTGGTTACCCTTGTAAACAAGTTTACAGACACGGGCCTGACGGTCAACAACCAAATGCTAAACGTGCTGGGAACAGTGCTCGGTCTCGTGATATCGTTCCGAACGTCTTCCGCTTATGAGAGGTGAGTAATTACAGCTGCCTTGCAGATCTTTTCGTTCTGACGTGGCGAAGATTTATGGAAGGCCGAAAACTATGGACGAATATAAACTTAACTTCACGGAATTTGGGACACCTCGTATGTCCTGACTCAAGTCTCCGCAAAGGCCCAACCCTGAGAAAATTTTAGATCTGGATCCATGTTCCTAATGACCGAAAAGTGAAAAATCCGGAGAATGCTGCCCAGGAAACCGCAGAACAAGCAAGGTTGAAATCCGTCATAGAGAAGAAATCAATGATCAATTTGGTACGAATTTCCTGCATCTCATGAGAGTTAACTAAGATAATATCTCAGCTTGAAGGCTTTTCCGTGGCCGTCAAGGTAAGAACTTCTTGACACTCGGCTTTGCCAACTTATCACGTACATTCTTTTCGCAGCACGCCCTCCGAGGTGAAGCCGGCATTTACTATGAGGATCTCTATCCCCTGGTCTGCTTTCTCCCAAGATTTGCAACTAAAGCACCCTTGATCGATATCAAGACCGATGTCCTGCCGTTGTGGCAAGCCAGCCAGCTCGACGATCCTAAGAACCATGCTAGTGCTGAGTCAACCTTGAAGGGACTGTCCCGTACCACTTCGAACCCAAGTGATATGAATGAGAAAGATGCCGCTATCAGCATGGTCCGGGGTGAGACCTTTGCACCAGATCTAGTTGAACAAGGGAAGAAGTCTCGTAAACGTCATTCGGACCCTGAACACATCCTGCCCGTCTTCGACTGCGACAGGCAACTCAAGCCAGCACGGAACCCACCAAAGACGTCGCTTTACGACTTTATTCCGTTACTTATAATTTTCAAGCCCATTATTTGGATCTTCAAGTACATGTATCGTAAGGTGCGCCGGGACAAGTATGCTTCTGCTCGCCCAGAAAAAGAGGGGATCAGGAACGCGTTCGGTCGCAAACGCAAAGTAGAGATGGTCGAATCTAGCGTCCCTCTCGAGATTACCTTGTTCCTTTCGAGTTATCTCGCATGGTTGATGAAGAATGAATACATTTCAAATGTAATGGCTAGTCCCTTCTCCGCTGCAATCATTTCGCTTCAAGACACCATGGCCAACTTGGACCGCATTAGTTCAACACCAATTCCATTTGCCTACCAGGCACACCTGCGGATATCGCTATGGTTCGTTTCAAGACGTTCTTTGTATTACGACGCATTACTTACCACGTCACACTTACTAGGCTCTATTTGTTCTTCCTTCCGGTACATGACCGTCTTCCTATGTGTAGGAACAAAGCTTATGCTGACGGCACTCCTGAACTTCCGCTTTAGTTTGAAACCTACGACAATTTTGGATGGCTTACAATCGGGTAAGTCTATAGCCTGATATACTTGAGAAGAGACACCTAACTTCAATCTTACAGTGCAACTGCCTTCGCTTCGTTCCTTTTGCTCGGGTTCCTGGAGATAGGGCAGGAGATGTACGTCTAATCGTAATTCCGCCGGCATCTCGTATTCACTAATGATTCCGTGTTGAACAGTGAAGATCCATTCGGTTATGACGCTAATGACCTGGGTAAACATTTCACGAGCTCTTTCTGCAATGCATAGAGTTTTTCTGACATCTTTTCGCAGACCTGGACGAATTCTGCGCTTGCATTCATCGGGAACTTGCGGAAATCACAGCGGTAAGGCTGTCACTGTAATTCCGTAACCCTCAAACCGCTAACCTCCGTGTACTTTTTCCGTAGCACACTTCTCCGGAACCAAACAGTTTCCTATTTGAGTCATGGAATCACCCATTCGCACCGGGAGACAACCGAAGTGCGAAAGACATGATCGAAAACGTCGAGCATGCGTATCATGGACCCGATACAGGCATGCTAAGCATTCGCAGGACGCTCCTCGATAGCTGGCGTTCCTCCGTCAAAATGCACAAAAAGTCTTAAAACATGACAGCACATCCATGAACGAGAAAAGACAAGTTTACTACGCATATACGAACTCTTTGATATGACAAAATTGGACGTTCCGAACGTCCCTCAATATTTAGACAGTATAATCGCATCATATTTATTTAGCGTATGCTATTTTCGCTGGCGGAGTAGCATTATTAGGACTCGTTGTCTTGTGTCAATATTCTTATTGGGTTTGGGTGTTGTGGTCGTGTGGTATAATTATGTATTTTGATGCTGTACTTGCATTCACGTATCGTACGAAGAAATTTGAAACGGAGTTCGAAATCGCGCAATGGAGAACGCGCGTCTGCGAAACAACAGTAGCAACAGTAGTAATATGCACTTGCAATTCTCCTCCTTATCGTGCCTACAAGCCAAAGTTCTATTCTGTTCCGTTGCTGCAAAAGGACAAAGTTGTACAAACTATCAATGTTGTATCTCGATCACTCCTTTCCTCCGAGCCAGCGATACACGACACGATTGTCGAGCCCACTACAGCGTGGGTCCTCTGCTGTCGCCTTGTACGTTGCCAGTGCAGCGTCACCCAAAGCAAGCTTCGCGTCCACTTCCTTCGCCGTCCCTAGAGCCAAGTTGAAGTCCTTTACCATCATTTGAACTTTAAAGCCGCCTTTGTAGCCTTTAGAAGTTACAGCATGTGGACTAACGCCGGGGACAGGCTTGTCAAGTATTGTTCAAGATTAGCTACGAAGAGATGCGATTCAAAATTGGCTTACGTTCATGTTAGCTGTAAACGTGCCGGAATGATTGATCATTAAATCCCTCTTGTCCGGCGCATATATGGAGGTACTCACCGTTTTGCCAGTTTCCGCCGGTACTCTTCTTGAAGACATCACTGAGCAGGAACTTATCGATTCCGTGTCGCATCCCGATATTCATAGCCTCCGCAGTCGCTATTGCACAAATTCCACTCACATAATTGTTACACAATTTCGCAACGAGGCCTTGGCTCTGTGCCCCGATACAGAAAATGTTCCTTCCCATCATCTCCAACAACGGTCTGATCACTTGTCGGAAATACGTGTCTTCTTCACTTGCTCCAGCAAGGAAGCTAAGTGTTCCCGCTTCCGCGCCGTGTACGCCTCCTGAGACGGGTGCATCGTAGAAGCGTGCGGAAGGAGAGATCTTTCTAACCGCCTCTGCGACTTCACGAGACGTCGCAGGATCGATCGTCGAGCTGTCCACAAAAGTCTTGCCGTCGACGGGACCTGTTAGGATGCCGTTCTTCTCGTCAAAGAATACTTCTCGGACGTGCTTGCCTTCCGGGACTATAACTATTGTAAGATCCTGCTCCCTTTAAGCCTTCTAACTTGCATGCGATATTTTTAAACGTGCTTACAGATTGTACTGCAACTTCACGAGCGTTTTCGCAGATTGTTACCTCGCCGAGGTCGTGAATCCGTGCGTTCTCCGCGAAATTGTCGAGTATTGACGGGATGATGTCATAGATAAACAACTTAGTAGACCTCGACACGGATTTGCGCAGATTCAAGGCCATCCACCATCCCATATCTAAGCTCTGTTCAGTTGTGGATCTACAACACGGTATCAATTGCAATTGAACCCTACGTACTTCCTAATCCTATGAAACCAATCGTCTCCGGCGGCCGATAGTCCGGCGTTATTCCATTTGACATATTAAAACTCTAGCTTGTGGACTTGGGGCTAGTAATGGGTACTGTGACGTTCTGGAAGTCGGAATACAGCTTATAACCTGCGCTGCACTGCTCCAGAGATACTCGGCTTAATAATTCAGTCGGCACGCATTCCTGTGGGTATAAGATGACGAAGATGTCAGGAGAGCAATAGACTTTGGTATTTTTGAGAGTCTTCGGAAGAGGGCCTTGTCACGAGTCCGATGGAGGGCGGACCGATATACACAGGTACATTCTATATCACTATATAGTACTTTGAACTCGACATCCAGCTTGACCTGCACTGGACAAGATGCCGACGAATGAAGAAGTCCGAAAATTCCTTTATGATGAGGGTATCAAACAACGCAGGAAGGTGCTAGGAGATGCGCATACTGATAAATGTATTTACAACAATAATTAATTCACAATATTTACCTGCTAATAATTTATGCTCAGCGTTATCAAATGTCTCTGACTTTGCGCGTGCTGGCCAGGAGTTGGTGACTGAAGCTGCATGGTTTGTCTTATCCATAATTTGCTTATTTCCACAACTAGAGCTCATGAATATTGTATTACACAGGGGAACAATCTGGACGCGCCCCGGTCTTACACACAGGCAACGCTCACTCGTCAGTGTTTCGATACTCTGTGCAATGGGAAAGCAGGTCGAGTTAGGTGCGCATATACGAGGGGCGCTCAATAACGGACTAACAGAAGAGGAATTGAAGTACGCATTGTATTCATTCTAGCACAATAGATTCGCTTACTTACTGACCGTGTCGTTTAGAGAGGTCATGCTACAAATCATGGTATACTGTGGCGCTCCAGTCGGCATGGAGTCGTTCAGGGTTGCAGATGCTGCAATTCAGAAGTGGAAAGCAGAGCATGTATGATGGGATGCTTCATAAAGATTGTTTTAATAAATTGCAATGTGTAAAAGAAAAGTAGAAAATGAAAGAGACTGGATTACTCACATAAGTTGACCTCTCTAGGCCACGAAGCTTTGATATTTTTGACACTCCACGAGAAGCATTCGTCACGAGTCTTGCATGAGAACGGTCCTCTCAGATATGCATATATATAAGCTCCCCTCTCCAGAACGCCGTTGACGTGGGCTCGTCGTTTATCTCCCAACTCGTACAAGCAAAAAGCCAAAATGCCTACAAATGAAGAAGTTCGGAAATTTCTGTATGATGAGGGGATGAAACAGCGTAAAAAGATATTCGGGGATGCGTTTGTTGATAACGGTAAGTCTCACCGTACTATATTCTCCCATACTCTATGTACATTCCTATCGTCGTCTCTGATACATGCAATGCCTGTGGACCTTAACTGATACGTTTATTCTCAAACCAGCACTTTCCGGAATCTCGGATTTTTCACGAGCCGGTCAAGAATTGGTGACTGAGGCAGCTTTGTTCGTCCCGCGACTATCATACGCTTACTCTATGGGCCGACGAAAATAATTGATTCTATTCATAGTGGAACGATTTGGACACGTCCGGGCCTCTCGCATAAGGAGCGATCCCTTATTTGCGTTACACTCACCGCCGCAATGAGCAAAGAGGTGGAATTGACTGCGCATATACGGGGAGCGTTAAACAATGGACTGACAGAAGAGGAGTTGAAGTAAGTATTACTCACATCTTATATGATAGCGAATTTAACCGAATTACATCATTGTATGCTGTCAGGGAGGTTATGTTGCAAATTATGGTATACTGTGGTGCACCAGTGGGGATGGTTGCTTTCCGGGTCGCTGATGCTGCGATTCAGAAGTGGAAGGCCGAGCAAGGAAAATGAGTATTTTGTAAATGACTTTACTGTTGTACATTACAATGTAAGTACGAGGAATATTGGAATTGATAAAGGATGAGAACAAATCGGAGTACTCACGTAAGCCAACCTGCTGGTATCACGGGCCCGTATCAAAAGATCAAGACTGAGCGTGCCCGGTGTAAACGAGTCAAGGAACCAGGCCTCCTCGCTGAGATTACATTGGGGAAGCTCGGTATCTGGCTTGACTGTACTTGCGTCGCAGCATCTTAAGTTTGATGGGTAGGGAATAACTTGGCTGCATTGTTCGTCACTCGCACCATGAGATTTCTGTTCTTTATTAAGACTTAATAGTATTGAATTTCTCGGCGGCACCATCTGGGCTCGGGGCCTGTCGCACGAGCATCGATCTCTTGCATGCATCTCAATCCTTAGCTCGTTGGGAAAGCAGGGTCAATTATCCACACACATCTATGGGGCGCTTAACAACGGCCCGACAGGAGGAAATAAAGTACGTGTTCCAGTCAGGATATGTGTCATATGTCAATAGAATGATTAAGTAACTTACTTCTTATAAAGAGAGATCCTGCTGCAAGTAATCGTGTACTGGGGTACCAGCTGGTTTAAGGGCGTTTAAAACTACCGACAGTGCAATTCAAAAGTGGAAAGTAGAACATGCAAAACAAGTATTAGATGGTGAGGCATCGTATATTGAGAATTGAAGGACTCACTGTTCACCTATCTCACTTTATGGCGAAATTAACTAACCCGCATCATTATCCACTGTCAGGAAGGTTATGATGCAAATAATGGTATACTGCGGTGCACCTGTGGGTATGGTGGCTTTCCGGGTCGCCGATGCTGCGATTCAGAAGTGGAAAGCCGAGCAGGGGAAATGAATGTTTTGTAAATGACTTACTGTTGTACGTTACAATGTAAGTAAGAGGGACATCGGAAATGATAAAATGATATCAAATTGGAGTAATCGGCATCACAGGGTCCATAGTGATAGTATCCCGATGTAACTGAGCTAAAAATAGAGTCCCACAACGAAAAGGCATTGGGGAAGCTCGTTATTCAGCTTGACTTGCGTTGCAGCGTCTCAAGCTTGATGGGGAGGGATTAATTTGATATAAATACGCTCTCGGAACGACATTGGGATCTCAACATTCCAACATTCAGCCCAGAGTTGTGCCATTTTATATCCTTTAAACCAGACGAAATGTCCTCCCTTGAAGAAGCCCACAAAGTCATACACGATGAGGGAATGAAGGAGCTCAGGAAGATATTTGGAGATGCAGTCGTTAATAAGGGTACCCATCAGCTTACTTTTACTTATTTTATAAGTCGAGCGCTGAGCACTCCCCTAGAAATGTCAAATGCATCGGACTTCATGCGCGCCGGGCACGAATTAGCAACAGAAGCTGCATTGTACGTCATCTGTGCTATCTTCACTCTGCTCTTTCACCAAATTGACCGGTATTAATGTCAGCGGGTTCATCTGGACTCGCCCGGGTCTGTCACATAAGCATCGGTCTCTTATATGTATTTCGATCCTTGGCGCGCTGGGCAAGCAGGATCAATTGGTCGCGCATGTCATTGGGGCGCTCAACAACGGCCTAACAGAGGAGGAGTTAAAGTACGTACTTCAGTCCTCGCATACCAATGACTCATTGATTCATAGACGTACTTATTAATTATGAAGAGAGGTTCTGTTGCAGGTAATCGTGTATTGCGGCGTACCAGCAGGCGTCGAGGCATTCAAATCTGCCGACGCTGCAGTTCAGAAGTGGAAGGCGCTTAATGATAAATAATTCTTTGATAGGCTGGTACCTGATGTTGTCGTGTAACCACAAAGCAATGCTGATCTGTGAAAAAATAAAAGTAAAAAATAAGAAAATATAGGATGAAGTGTCAGACGATCGACAAGCGACTGGACAGGGATAGGATCACTCACGTAAAGTCAATCACTCTTACCTTTTATGACTTGACACCACAAGCATGATGGTGGATGTCCCGTTCTCGCCGAACCGAAAAGATTGTTTCCCTGTAATGATGATTTTGGGGAACTCGGTGTTCTGATTGGCCTGCGACGCAGCGCCAACAAGCCAGTGGATATGAGCCCACCTACAGTATAAATACGGCATTGAAATGACTCCAGGGGAAATCAACACTAGGTTCAGCTGAACTCTTGAACGAAACGAAATGCCGTCCCTCGAAGAAGCCCACAAAGTCGTGCGCGATGAAGGAATGAAGGAGCTCAGGAAGATATTTGGAGATGCAGTAGCTGATAAAGGTAATCACCAGCTGCTTTGCTTCACAATGCCTTTTGCCAAATTGACTTTACATTTGCAGAGTTAGCGAATGCCTCCGACTTTATGCGAGCTGGTCAAGAATTGGTGACTGAGACTGCATTGTTCGTTTCATACATCGCTAGCAAATCCCTCCCATATCGTGGCTTACATATCTGTATCTCAGCGGGACCATCTGGACACGTCCAGGGTTGAGCCATAAGAATCGGTCGCTCATCTGTGTTTCTATCCTCTGCGCTTTGGGGAAGCAGTCAGAGTTAGCCGCCCATGTCTTTGGGGCACTTAATAATGGCTGGACGGAAGAGGAGTTAAAGTCCGTATCAACTTTCTCATGATGTAATAATGGTCCCGGTTACTCACAGAATCTGTTTCTAAGGGAAGTCATGTTGCAAGTAATGGTGTACTGCGGCGCACCGACAGGAGTAGAGGCGTTTAGAACTGCTGACGCTGCGATTCAGAAGTGGAAGGCGGCTCATGGAAAATGAGCCCTTGATAGCTTTGTAAATACTGTTGTGTAATTAGCGAACATAATCCAAATGGCTTGGAATCTTGTCGAACAAAATTATTGAATAAATATGAAGGTGTGTGATGAAGTATCAGGAGGATCGACAACCAAGTCTGAAGTCAATCCGACCAGGACGCGACTTTCTCGCGTAGGCTATAAGGTACGTACGTGACTTCCAACCTTGACCAGCGTCTGTTCTGCACAATGAGCGCAAATAAATACGCGAACCTCCCGGACATTGTAAGTATCAGCCATCGATACGGAAAGATGTACTGAGGTTCGGTATGTTAGGACACGTCGCAAGACGTTTACGAAACAGAGGATGTGTTCCCTACGCGCACTCGTGCTGGCGATTCTAGCGAAGACGAGTCTGCCGGCCAGACACGTACAAATGGCAATGGAGCGCGTGCAAAGGCTGATCCAGGTGAAGGATTAGACTCTACCAGTCTCATTAGTGCAGATGAGGCAGGAAAGAAATTTAGAAAAGCCGAACGAAAGCGAGGTGTGTACTGAACACCTCTTCAACTCTCGAATATTACTGATCTCTTCTTTTTCAACTTAGACCATCATCCACGATCAATATTCGCATATCCAGCTTCATCTCCACCTTCTCCTACTTCACCTACGCATACGCGACCTCTGTCAACGCGTCTGCGTACTCTACAAGCTGAACTAGATTCACTAGAAGCCGAACTCTCTGATCCATCTAATCCTCTGTTACATGGAGACGAAAATGGTGAAGGCGCACAGATCGATCCTGGCGAATTAATGCGTGGGCTCGTTGATGTACGTGGACGACTCGAGAAAGTGAAGAAAGGCCGAGAGGGCCGAGGGCGGCTCGTAGGTGTCCTGCTGAATGCAGAAAAGGAGAGGCAGGAAAAGGAAGTTAGTGAGATTAAAAGGGAAATAAGTCGAGCACGAAGTGTGGATTGTAAGGCCGGCGATGGGAAGAAGGTAGATATCGAAGATGAGACGGAGAAAGCTGCCCTTGCTGAACTGGATCGACGAGTCGGTGAGCTCGAAGAATTAATTGGATCTTCAAGCATCGCTCTAGATGAAGTCAGTTTCCATTGCTTTTCCTGACTTGTTACACACTCATGATATATTACTAGGCTTCTCCATTACCCGCTCCGTTGTTGCCCATGCTCACAAAGCTCAATAATCAACTCGCGCTTCTCACACAGCCGCGCCATCTTGACTCTATCTCCCGCCGTCTAAAGTTACTCATCTCCGATCTTGACCGACTTTCCACATCCCAACAACACGCCAGTAAACGTGGTCAATCTCACCAAACCGCACAAGCTTCTCAGGGTGGGACGCAATCCGCTCTTCAAGAACAAATCTTACCACTCCTCGCGCGTCTTGCACCTCATCTTCCCCATCTCCCACACTTATTGACGCGTATGCGCACTCTTTCGGGGCTTCATACAGCAGCGGCAGATGTGCAGAGTACGATTGGTACCTTGGAGGAAGACCAAGTGCGGGCGCGTGGGCGACTAGACGTGCTTTCATCGGCGGTTGAAGGTGTCGAAAAGAGTTTGGAGGAGAACGCGGAGGTTGTGCGTAAAAACGTTACCGGTCTGGAGGAGCGTATTGAAATGCTGGTGAAACGTTTAGATGCTCTGGGATGAGCTCATTTCTTTTGCTTTTTGTCCGGATTATATGATATCTGTAGATATTCGGGAATATACCTCTTGTCTGAATACCCGCCATGAGAATGCCCTTTGTAACATGACTAAAGGTATAAAATAGTGACATTACTTAATTTTGTTCTTCGAAAGCTTTGATGGTGTGTGAATTTATAAATAATTATGGTACTTTATCTTCAGTCGGCCCGGAGTTATCGCTTCGCTACGCACACGATGGCTATATATTCCCATCTAGCTCTTATCCTCCCTAACGCATTTACTCATCCTCACAGACAATAGCATAGTCTAAGGGCCATTAAGATGTCCCATCAGCCGTTGCTCCAGGAAAAACGCCCACTTCTTAACCAGTCCTCGACGAGGAAATCAACGAAAGTGAAGCCAGTGTTGGTTATACATGGCGGAGCTGGGACAATGACTCGGGAGGGCTCGACACCAGAGAGACGTGAGGAATACAAGAATGCTTTAAGAAAGGCATTACGGAAGGGATATGAAGTGCTTATGGCCGGCGGGGAGGCTATGGATGCTGCTGTTGCTGCTGTCAATGTAATGGAAGGTGAGATTGGTTCCTTGTTGGACTTGTTCGTGTAATGCATAAGTATGCTGAATTGGGTGTAGATTGTCCTTTGTTCAATTCCGGGAAGGGAGCAGTGTTTAATGTTGCGGGGAAGGTCTGTATATCTTCTGTTTTCCTTCTTTAAACCTTCAGTTGATATTTGTATTTCTTTCACTTTTCAGAATGAACTCGAGGCATCCATAATGCTCTCCAAGCCTCCCACATCCCATCCAGACATCCCACTTAATAGACGTGGCATGAGCCTCACACTCCTAACGACAACACGCAATCCAGCAAGTACAGCCCGACTTCTTTATCTAGCACCAGAAAGCACTATGCACCCTTTCCTCTCGGGCACAGAAGCAGAGCAAGTCGCTCAATCTCTTGGAGACATGCCAGTTGACCCATCGTACTTCTACACTGAGGCACGTTGGCGAGAACATAGACGTGGACTGGGATTACCTGAGGAACCATTACCTCATTCTCCTGAAGACTCCGGATCCGAATTTGATGCATTTGACGATACTATGCCAAAAGGAACTGTGGGTGCTGTTGCACTTGACATGAACGGATGCATTGCAGCTGTAACCTCCACTGGTGGACGTACAAACAAATTAGTCGGTCGGATAGGCGATACACCTCATATGGGCGCGGGATTCTGGGCAGGAGAGTGGGGTGTACATGGCTTGAAGAAGGTCTGGAGAAAGGTTACAAGGAAGAGTACAAGACGTGCTGTAGGTGTTTCTGGTACAGGAGATGGTGATGTAAGTATCCCATCCTTCTCCACCTTTGATCATCTTTACTGAAAGAAATTCAATGTACAGTATTTCATTCGTTACAACGCTGCCGCTAATATAGCAGATAGGATGAAGTTTCTCGGGGAGAGCGTGAACAAGGCTGCAAATAGTGTTGTGAAGACACTGGGAGAGAATGAAGGGATAGGTGGGGTAATTGCGTTAGATGAACTAGGCAATTGTGAGCATATTTTTCCCTTCGTTCGTCGATTGATGACATAAATTTCATTTCTGTTGTCAGATGCGCTCCCATTGAATAGTAGTGGGATGTATCGAGGTGTCATAACTGCTGAGAGTATACCCAGGGTTGCTATATTTTCCGATGAAGATCTAGAGTAGAGCATAAACTATACGGAGTGTAGAATAGATCGTGTTTCTTGTGCGTATTTGTAGTGTAACAGAACTCTTACGAAAACTGGACACATTTAGCACGTGATCTAGGTATTTAGAAATATTCACGCCATCGTGTGCATTACATGTACATGCTAGCCGTCAAGAAGGCATCGACGGGTAACGTCTTGCTTCCTACTCAAATGCTCGCCAGCTTACGTGCCCGTTGTCCTGTTGCATTATCCAGATCTTTCACCACTGGTACAGTCAATGGATTAGTGGGGGCAATTGGAAACACGCCATTGGTGAGTTTCTTCGACCTACATAGTATCGAAATCAGTAAGTTTGCGATGTTAATCACGCATTGCAAAAGATATACCTCAAGGGTTTGTCAGAAAGGACAGGATGCCGGGTGCTTGGCAAGGCTGAGTTCCAGAATCCTGGTGGGAGTGTTAAAGATAGAGCTGCGCTGGGTCTCATCAACGAGGCGGAGGGCAATGGCCTGTACGAACTTCTTCTAGTTATTTAGTGTTGAGAACTGACAACCGACAGTATAAAACCGGGTGGAACCGTTGTAGAAGGTACTGCAGGCAATACTGGAATTGGTCTTGCCCATGTATGCCGATCAAAAGGTTACAACTGTGTCATCTTCATGCCCAATACGCAGGTAGGCGACCATAACAAGGAGACAAGATAATAGATTGATATTTATATTTTACTTAGAGTCAAGAGAAAATAGACCTCCTGCGCATGCTTGGTGCTGAAGTCTATCCAGTACCTGCAGTCCCTTACGAAGATCCCAAGAACTACAATCACCAAGCCCGAGATTTTGCCAAAGCGCTCAACAACTCTATCTGGACGAACCAATTCGACAACGTCGCAAACGCGAAAATCCATTACCTCACTACGGGCCCAGAAATATGGCAGCAGACAGATGGAAAAGTGGATGGCTTCATTTGCGCAACGGGTACTGGCGGGACACTTGCAGGAGTCGGGAAATTCTTAAAAGAGAAGAGCAACGGAAGGACACAAATCTGGCTGGCTGATCCACCCGGGAGTGTACTACACAGTTATATCAGTAGCGGTGGCAAATTGGTTGAGCGAACGGGAAGCTCAATTACTGAAGGTGCGTCCTACATTTTAATGCGTTGTTGATGCTCTCTACCTTTGGAACAGGTATTGGCCAAGGGCGAATCACAGATAACCTTGCTACATTCGTAAAGGATGTGGACAGCTCGCTCCATATTGCGGACGAGAAATCAATCTCAATGGTATACGAGATGTTAGCCACGGAGGGTTTATATATCGGAGCAAGCTCTGCCTTGAATGTCGTGGCAGCACATGAGATGGCGCAAAAGCTTGGACCCGGTGAGTTAACTACTTAGTGCCAGCTCTTCTGGTATGCTAATTCCAACTTCATCTTCAGGCAAGACCATTGTCACTGTCATTTGCGATGGCGCATACCGCTACCAAAGTAGACTGTTCTCAAAGAAGTGGCTACAGTCAAAAGGTCTCGCGAACGCCATCCCTGGAAATCTGAAGAAATACGCTGTATTGGACTAAAAAAATCAGAATCGAAAATATACTTAACTTTTGCCCCCCGAATCCGATGTGTGCGGATCTTCTGGCGATCCACGTGCTATTTGACCCTTGAACACTGACTCATCTAACGGAGACAAGGTCCGCTTTAAAACTACTATCAACACTGTGAGTCGCTGAGTTTTCTTCTGGTGCTTGATCATGGCTATGTCACTCCCCAGACAATTCCACCCCTTGAAAGTAAACTCTCGCAGTGGGGAGCCGTATCTACAGCTTTCTGCACCTCTTGATAACATAACCATCACACCTAATCGTCTGAGCGATGCTCAAGTATCAGTTCAATTCCTGAATGATCCCCGTGTCTATAAAATGTTGATTGGCCCACCGTATCCGTATCTTCCGATACACGCCGAAGAATGGATGGCTAAATGCATAGAGAGTTCCGATGCAATCTTTGAGACGCTGAAAACGGCGGAGACGAGAAACTCTGACGAAACGGAGGCTACGCTCATACATGTCGATGGATGCCCTGTGCGCGCTCTTCGGGAAGTACAGCCGGATGGGACAGATGTCTTCATCGGTGATATTGGCATAATAAGATCTGGACGCTTCGAATATCTGCGGGATAAAGGGAAGGAAAAGACGCTTACAGAATATAACGCTTCGTTACCTGCTGGTAATCCCGAAATAATCTGGGACATTGGATGTACGTCGACAACACTACCAACTTTACGCCCTCCAGCTCATTTATACGATCCTCTAATGTGATGGATATCTACATAGATTATCTTGCACCCGCTCACCATGGCAAAGGAATTATGTCCGCAGCACTCCGCACCATCATACACTCTTGGGCTATCCCGCGGATGAATGTACACGTCATACGCGGGTCGGCGTTTTCTGGGAACCCTGGGAGTGTGAAGGTGTTTATAAAGAATGGATTTCGGGACTTTGATTTGGTTGAGGAGTGTGTGAAGCTACCAGAAATTAAGGGCGGTGATGTATTTGGATTGCACTTCCTTGAGTGGAGAAGGCCAGTACCAGATGTCTAACATTGGATAAATGTAAGCGATGTTTGGTGGTCTCAGTCAATAATACGTTCTGAAGTTGACACCCGCTCTACTTGTTTGTTGCAGGTGATCGGTCTCGATACACTCGCTGAGCATATTGCATTGTTATGTGTAATTTGAGTGATCATTGCCAAATTGAAATTACCTGCGTTTATTAAAGAAGATACCATGGCAGTCAGGGAATCAGCAAGGATGGGACGGAGACGACGGTACGTATTGTCCGAAGGTGATGATTACTTAGCGCAACATCATGGGAAGAATAAAGGTACAGCATATTGCCGTCTGCACGCTGATAGGCCAGTACAGGAATCGACGTCGGAGATGCGTAAGTTCCTTGTCACGATTGTCCCTTTAACTATACTGACTCTTGCTGATACGCCTCATTTCACTGTGTACGAATGTCAAACCAGACAAGACGAGTTCATTCTGGCAACAGAAACATCACATATTTGAAGGTGTACTCAGATGAATTATTTTCTGGCAAACATGCGCTCCATGCATACGAAACTCACGCTAACACCACAATCAAGGTACATCGATCATCAACTTCTGTAAGGATGATTTAAAAAGCAGTTTCGAGAGTTTGATGTCAACGTGGCTGTGCGAATGATACCGTCCGCTTGTTCTTCTTACCAGTGAAGGCGAATGAAGCGAGGCATGGTGAAAGCGGGCATGTTGAACTATCAAATGCATAGTGCGTCTATTTACAGGCAGTGCTTATTTTCTCTGCAGTTGGAAATAACCAGCACGGGTCCTAAACATACGCATCAATCTGCAATACCTTGACAGGCAATCTGATAAATGCAATTGACATTTCAAATGAATGATGCGCCTTTCCCACAGTCCTACAGCAGTCGCCGCCCGAAGCCGCGCATGCATGCAGGAGACAAATTGAACGGACTCGTGCTTGTTCAATTACCCGTCGCAGCTTACATCTTTGTAGCCAATGATGTCGGACTGAAGAGGAAGCCTTATGGTACTTCACATTCATTCCAGGCGCTCATCAAAATCCGATCCTCTCGTGCCTAGCGGCGTGTAGGTCTGGTTTCTCAATCCGCGCGATCATGCCCCAGGCGAAGCGCTGTATTTCTTATTGCGTTCCGACTTGCCGATTGATTCCCTTTCTCGTTGCCTCTTGACCGACTACCACCAGCTGCAATGAGGCTGGGCACTGGCTTCGTCTTGAGTCTATCTGTTCTCTTGGCTCGCTCACAGTCAACTCATACAGTAAGTATCAGCTCTTGTAAAGTTTACAGTGTGACTGACTTTGACTAGGTTTCCGTAGGCCAGTTCTACGAGCCTCCTTTGATCTCTGCTTTACAAGGGGATGTCGTCCAATTCCTCTTCACTGCAGGGTAAGCGCTTGTAGCATGCCATCGCATCTTCAAGCCCTAACATTCTTCAATAGTCATCATGGCGTTACTCAGGCTTCAGGTGTCGCCAATCCCTGCTCTCAACTCACCGGAGGGTTCAACAGTGGAATTATTGGAGGTTTCGTAGCAAATGCCACGAACCAACCTCCGACTTGGAGCTTGACTATTACCAATGCTTCTGCTCGTTCGTACTTTCACTTGTACACGCTGTGGAGCCGGTATCTCATGCGTTGCTTCTAGCGATCTTTTTCTACTGCGCGGCAACTCTTCCGTCCTTCCACTGTGCCAATGGGATGGTTGGGTAGGCTATGTCCGAGTGATCATCAAATTGTTCTTGTATTCAGCTGTCATCCCCATTTTTAAGTGCTATTAATGCCGAGCCGGATGTATATACGTCCTATTCTTTAGCGGCAAAAAGCGTAACCGGAACTCCAGTAGTGAGTAAGGTCTTAAAGTAATCTTTCGCTGACCTCACCGTTCCATCCTTCTAGCAAACCTCGAGTGTCGTGATTTCCGGGGTCGGAGCCGTAGCGACTGCTACTCCGTTCACGCCGACTCCGACTGGACTTCCGGCAACGTCGACGACGTTGTCTTCTGGCATTCCTTCATCCACGTCAGAATCTAGCTCTCCACTCCCCTCAGAGACTTCTGCCACATCGAGTAAATCATCCAGTAAAGGTGCCGCTATTGGCGGAGGCGTTGGAGGCGCTGCAGCCGTCGTGATCATCGCCCTCTTGGGCGTTTGCTTGTACCGAGCGAAGCGCCAGCGTACTACCGGTTCAAATCCACCATTCTCACCTGAAGCGAGGGAGAAGTTCAATATTCATAGTCCGCCGATGACCCCTCCAGGGCTTCCTATGAATAATTCATATCAAAGGGATCCGTTTTCAAGCCCGGTACTGGCAGCATCTCTTCGTCACAATCGAAGTGTCGGTTCTGTTGGATTGTCGAACATGGAGGGTGGCCCTATGCCGGTTGGAGGGAACTACGGTCACCAACGTATGGTGAGCGAGCAAAATGACAACGCGCACTTCCGTGCTACGACGTACACTCAAGGGTCGTCATTGTCTGGATCTCTTTCTGAACCTCCTTCTGGTGGTCATCCTGGTCGAGAATTTGGCCAGAGAAGTGCGGATTCTGGTTCGTCAGTTCGTGAATTACATGAATATATAATATGCTCATGATTCTTCCTACTAGCCAATACGACATTCCAGCCTCAGCCTCAATACTCACCAGGCGTCCAAGGTAACTACGTAAACGCCCACGAACTCGCAAAAGAAGTAGCAACAATCCTCGGCCCTCACTTGCGCAACGCCAACACACCACCACCACCGATTTCTCCTCCACCTCAACATCGTCGTGCCTTACCGAATCCTCACGGTTTGCCGGCTCATGACGACGAACAGCCGCCAACATCGCCAGCTCCGCCCAAGTACGATTCTTATGACGGTCATCAGTGATTCGTTTTAATTCCGGATAAATTGACGATATTCGAGTACTTCGTCCGTCCACTCCTTTTCGGTATTTAATATTTAAGTTTTTGTTAATATGCATACATTTCTGTGCCTGCTGTAATTAATGGATTCATGCTACTTCGCTATCATAAAGTGGCTACTGGTATGTTAGTATCTCTCGTTTATGCACTCGATTATGCAAATTGACTCGATTATACAAATTGACGCGATTATGCAAATTGACTCAGCTGTGGAGAGATGGGCCCCCGATTTGTCGATTGTGGTCTAGGTATAAAAAGGGCTGCCCCTCTTGTCCATCGCTCACTGAATGCAACTCGGTCGACTCACTGCACGCAGCTTTTCACTAGTACCAACTCAACTCTCACACCCTCGTTGAATATTCACTCAGGATCACAAGTGAGTCATAGTTTCCTTGTGTTGCTGTCCTGTACTCAGTTCTGGTCTCGTCTCACTCCAGTGATATCCGACGAATTTCTTGCTCAATGTATTGAGTTCGCCAAGGCTAGGCAGTGAGTGGGACAGGGCTTGATACTTTCCTCCTAAGCCCATTTCTCGGACCTTAGGCGTACCAGTTCATCCACCGCGGAAGATATCTCCACGTCGCAGAGCTCAGTTGTTACGCTCCCATCCCCTTTGTCTGAGATGGAGGCCAAGCACTACTATGATGGCCTGCCCTCTGCCCCAGTCTTGGTTGCTCGAACCAGCACCACTCCGTGGCAGGAGCCCTCCGGCCCAGAGGCATACCGGACAGCGAAGGAGCTCGGCACCGTCTACAACCACGCACTCTCTAAGGCCTGGAACGACAACCTGGCTCCTAAAGTCTTCAACCTTCTGGACTCGATGAAGATACAGTGGACTAGCATCGATATCGTTCGCATTGGGAACGCCGGAGAGTCTTTTAAACCCGTCATCCTCTGGATCGGCGTAAGACCCGCAACTCTCTCTGGCTATGACGGCCTCGACGTAGCCTCGAAGTGTCGGAACATTCTCGTTGAACACGATATCTCCGACGTCGATGTCGAAATCCGGGAGTCGGTACGCTGGGGTGGAGGGGCAGGGCTGGGTCCAAGCTCCTGACGCCGACCTACTCTTCTGGCCCCAGTGTAGATGTCTGCGATGCACTTACCGCCACTACGCCTTGAGCTGATGATACCATCTCTAGGTACTGTGCATATGCATATAACAAGGTGTAACCTCGCGGTTTCACCAGCTACTCGATTACGTAATACTCTCCTATTTAAATGTCTCACATACTCCTTGTCTTGTCTTATCAATTCTATTCTGTTGACTGTTCTGTGTCTCAGTGTGGTATTGGCTTCACAAGGTGCTTCTACACATATCAGCATATAAAACACACACATTTGTGAGACTAATGAACCTAGTATACAACACAAATTACTGTATTGTATACAGTGTATAGTAATTTTCTATAAAATATGTTCTTCTGTATTTTCAGCACATATTAGGGCACTTATAGGTATACACTTGTATAAAATTTGTTTGGCTCCCAGGTAACAATACAATACAGTCTTAAAGCATATGTACAAAAGATGTGTACACATAACATGTAACAGTACTGTCAGGAAAAAGTCTTAATTATTATATACTCTTATATGCATATATAATATGTAAAAAAACAATATTATCCATAATGACATTTATTGCACCCCTCATTGGATAAGATATATAAAAGATACTATAAGGTTGTAATAAGACAGATTTATATTATGAGAATTAATAAACATTACATGTCCTTACAATAGGGATATAAGAATTATAGCTCTTAGGAAAGTCTATAATGGTATATATTGCACCCCTCTTCTGATATGGCATAATACTTCTTCTGCTATCTTATAATCCTTAAATAAGTTAATTTACAGCTTATATCTTATCTGAATGGCTTATTATACAATATATATTTTATTTAAATATTTTATTCTTTACTAACAACGCCGAACGGTACATAATATTAACACATTATAACAGAAACAAAACTATCACTACCTTAGCAAATCACAACAACCGATAGACGTACCATGGGTATTCATCTCCTCGTGCTCTTTCTTCCTCTGCTTCGCGAGTTCGCCCCAGTATTTACGTTCCTCTACAAACAGCGAACGCCATTGGTATGAGATTGTTTTGGAGAGGTCAGCTCGACACTGATGTCGTGCGACCAGGTCGTCTTCTGCAGGTAGT